ATGCTGGCCATCTGCTCCTGGCGAGCCTTCTCCTCTTCGGCAGCCATCTCGGCAAGCCACTTCTCGCCGTTCTCACGGATCTCACGGTCAATCATCTCGTAGTTCTTCTGGCCACGCTCGCGAATCTGATCCCACAGCATCTTGCCCTGGGCCAGACCCTCGGAGGGAGATACCTCACCGTCCATGGTACGGCCAGACTTCAGGCCAAGAGCACCGGCAAGGCTGCCCATGGAGAGGGAAGGCTTCTTCTTCTTCTCCTCGGCAAGATCGGCTTCGAAACGCTCACGCATAGCCTTCTCACGCTTGGCGAACTCGGCGGGGATGACAGTACCCTCGAACGACTTCAACACAGGTCGGACATCCTCGACACCCATACCGGCAAGGTACTCCAGGAAGGGAATGAGAGCGACGAGAGTCTTGTCCTTGGGGTCACCGGTCCACTTATCCAGGACGACGGCGTTCTCGGGCTGCAGGCGGGCATGCTCTTCCTTGGTATCGAGGAGAATGACCTTCGACAGGTCTCGGTTCAAGTATTCCAGATCCTAGTAAAATATGGTCAGTAAGATCGAGAACTGGAATGCGCGCCAATTCGAACATACCTTGATGTACTCGCCATCCTTATAACGGGTGGCTTCACGGAACAAGGGCCAGCGGATAATACGGTAGGGGTCGAGCTTGCGGAGAACCTGGTCGGCCATCATGCTGGGCACGGTGGTGAAGAGAACGAGTTCGTAGTACTGGTTGAGGTAGCGGAGGAAGTAATCGACACCAGGACGCTTCGCAACGCGCCATCCGTGCTCACGGCTCCACTCGCTGTGAACGAGAAGATCCTCGAGACTGAGCACCAGGGTGTAGGGCTGGCGCATGGCGGGGTCCTCATCCGGAAGCAACTTAGGGAAGGCAGGGTCTTTGTAATAGCTGGTGAGATCACTGGTGCGAGCCTTGGCACGGTTCCACCAGAGACCCAAGCCCCATCCAGATGGTTGCTGAGGGTGAGCGCGCTCCTCCTCATCGGATTCCCAGTTGCGGCCGAGATAGCCTACTCCAGCGACACCGGCGGCCAGCATCACGGCGTACATGATGTTGGCCATACGGGCCTTGCGACGATCCATAGATGTTTCATATCCGCCCTTGGGGATATCACCACCACCCCCTCGCTTCTCTTCGCTATATTCCTCTGATGTTGGGTCCTCGGTGAGGTTGAGCGATGACTTCTTGGAACGGCCTTCGAGCTCTGCAAATAGTGTCGACGGAATACCCTGGGTGAGGTCAGGGAGCGGCTTCGAGGGGATTTCTTCAGCTTCAAACTATAGGCAAAAATGGATTAGAAAGAGCGGTCCAATTCAATTTGATAAATTGCAATGTAGATAGGTGTCGGTAGCTCACGGGTTTGGCAGATTCCGCGTCAGTCTCGGGCTGAGCCTTAGTATCGAACTCGGGTTGTTCCGCGGCATGTTGTTCGGGTTGGGTATTCTTTGTAGCCTTGCGCTTCTTCGTTTTGGACTCCTGTGACTGCATCGACTCGGGGAGAGAGTACGGCGTACTGCCCTTGCCCTGAGCGTACCACCGGGGCCGCTGGGCAGACAGGGCCGAAGAGGCCCTGAAGGCAGAGGCGAGGACGTTGGGCCTCGTCAGAGGCAGAACGGCACGACTCAGCATAACGAGAGAATGAAAGGGGAAAGTGATGGAAGAACAGGAAACAAAAGTGTCCTGCTGGGTCTCTCGATCCTCGGGCTGGCGGGTCGAGTTTCCCGTAGAAAAGTCAGGCGCGTGGCTCGGGTGACCTAGACGGGCCTGTTGCGCAGTTTATGCGTTGAGAGACCGTAGTATACTACGATACCTTTTGCTATTTTGTAATTTAAAATTCACTAAAAAATGAAAATAAAGCTTCTATTATACTAGATTCGACTCACATTTTCAATTGACTCCTATTCGGAAAGACTTCAAGGTCTTTCTACGCTGTTGGCTACGTCAGTAGCTACTAGTACAGTCTGATTTGCCTCACTGGGCACTGTCGACCACCGTAGCAGTCCCGTTTTATGGCAATTCGAAGTGCCCATTTCTTTCCTTTTCCTCAGTTATGAAAGTCCACCCGGCAAATAATTTGACCCAACACGCCTTTTCTCTATGCGTGTTGGACTGAAATCGCTGGGGAGACCGAAAGAAGTTTCTTCTTTTCCCGCATCCAAGAGCCGCAGCAAAGGCCTCCAGTGAAGCTACAGCTCCAATTGTGGGAAACAGTCCCCTATTTTTTTCTTACCTCTTTGTCTCTGTTCAAAACTGCCAAAGTGAATGGCAGACGAGGTTGAGTCTCATGTCGATATTCTTACTTGACTTCAATCTCCGCGAAGAATGCAATCATTCATGAAATTTTCCCTCCATCCTTTTAGATCCCGTGTCGCGTACTTATAGATCTTTTCGCCTCTCATTTTTTCTCCTTCCTGTCAACATGGCCCCCAAGAAGGCGCGAAAGCCCATCGAGGAACCAGAGTTATCAAATGAGTTGGAGCCTGAGCCTGAGCCCGAACTGCAACGAGGACCATTCCCTTTCCTCGAATTGCCATCCGAAATTCGCCTGCGCGTGTACCATTTTCGTCCTCTTCACACCAACCCGGAAGAGTGGTGCGAAGAAAAACGCAGGCACCGTCGGTTCCTCCGCAAAGAAAAGCAAGCATGTCGCCCCGACCTCGCATCGCATAGCACTGTTTCTGACCTCACATCGCATTCACGATGAGGCCAGTCATATGTTCTATTCGTCCCAAATCTTCCGACTCTTCCCCGTGCAAGACTTCTCTCGCCGGCCGACCGTTCGCGCCCTTCCACGTCGCCACCGGCCGTCTGTCACCACAATAGAGTTGATTCTGGGCAATAGTTGGACTGCACCACCACGGTCATGGATTGTGAATCAGGGACTTGGCTTGCGCGATATGGCTCTCACGCGCACACTGAAGATTTTCATAGAGTGTGACCCGTCGCAGCCAATTTTCGAGGGGTTCCGCGTCTCGAAAGAGTACTATACGGAATTTGCGGGGAATTTGATGCGGCAAATTCTAGAGCGTCTCCCTGCCCTAGTCCAGGTGGAGTTTGATGGGTATCCCTCCGTGCGCAAGACTGGTGATCTGATGGTACGCTTGCTGCAGGAGACGCAGATGGCAAACAAGAAGGTCTTGTGGGGCCCGGAGAGGGGCTGGACAGACACCGAGGACAACTATGTCCCAGAGGCGGAAGATCCAGCAGACGCTGCCATTGATGGTTTGCGGTCCAGTATACCGCTCTGCGTTGACACTTTGACAACCACACTCCAGGCCGTCAGACTGGAGACATGAGGCCCGTTGGCACATCACTTGATACGAAACTTGGAATCGGTGTTGGACGTGACATGACTTTAAACAGTATACATATACATTGCGCGGCGTTGATAGAGTGGCTCGAACTTAATACATCTTTGATCCACATTTAGACAATCTACCTGGGTACAGTCTAAGGATTTCTCGTACCCAGGTATTACTATTTCCCAGGTTTACTCTTTGATTGTCAAGAGAGTAGATTCCTCATTCTTCGTATAAAGCATAGATGGATCCTCTGAGAAGAAGAAAACAAATATTCGTAATTAAAGCATGTAGGTTTCAAATGCTTCTATCTAGAGTTCCTCATCCACATCCATGTTGGTACCGTTGGCGCCGTCTTTCGAGCTTGATTGCCGGGCTACTGAAGCTTCCTTATCAATCATTTGGCGGGATACGGCGACAATGTTGTCCTCGATCAATTGCTGGCTGACATCCTCAATGTCTAAATAATAAGGTTAGCATGTTATTACAAGGTCAATGGAGACGAACGACACATACGCTTCTTGGGATCAACCTTGCCGACGTATCGTGTCTTCAGTTGATCCTTGCTCAGCTCTGTCTCTTCCTTCACCCGCTTCTCGTAGCCCTCGGCAAGGCTGACAAGCTGCTTCATCTGCTCCACGTTGTGATGACCGTCTTCGTGGAAGTCGTTCATTTGCAGGGCCTCGGTCCACACGTGCTTGTGCAAGTTCATCAGCATATTCTCCTCCAAGCCGGTCTTTCGGTAGTTGATTCCAATGCTATAGTAGTGGCGGTTCAGGCCGTGAATGAGAGCCTGGATCGAGGGCTTGTTCAGGTGACCCAAGTTTGAGGTTGTTTGACGGGGCTCCTGGCCCATGACAACGGTCTGCGGCTGAATAAGGCGGAAGGCGTCAATAACAACCTTTCCCTTCACTGACTGGATGGGATCGACGACGACGGCCACGGCGCGGGGGGTGAGTTGTTCGAAAGATTGCTGGGTGTTGATATCGACGGATGAAAGCCAGCAACCGAAACCAGGGTGAGAGTGATACCATCCAACGACAGTCTCTGGCCTATTGTTCCATCATGATTAGCACAGTTCTCCCAGTGTCCGTAAATGCAGATCATATAACATACCGTCCCGTTTGCCGGAGCATCTCCATCATCTTGGTTTGGAATACGGGATCCACAGCCTCGACACTGACACCAGTACCACTCTGGGGCATGGCAAAGACATCCACAACGCGGACTGTGTATTCATCGACAAATTCACCCAGCATAAGACCCATGACTTCCATCGGAACACCCGCGCGACCGTGTCGCAGCATCTTCAGCAGGGCCAGAGAGGAAATATGAACGGTTTCGGAGTTATCAATCAGGTTCGGGGTGTCCTAGAAGAAGATTGCGAGTTAGAATCGGCATTGCTCGATGATAGCAGCAGCTTCGGAGGGCGGACGAATGGCGAGTAGCCACGGCTTCTGATCACTTACACCACCGGGGGCAGCACTTCCCATTCCCATGCCCTGTGCGGCCTGCAGCATTCTATTGAGCCGGTCCATGATGGCTGATCACAATGAGTGGAAGGGTGTAGAAGGAGTGATGAGAGAGATAGCTTCCTAGATGGAAGCTCCCAAAAGGTCGATCGGTCCCTGTCGAACTGATTTCGTGACGGAAGAGCTGCAATAAGATGCAATGCGAACTTTGCAGGTAAGTAAGTGAGTTACTTTAGCAACCTTGAAGACTGATGTTGGAGGGCTCTTGTTGATGCTTGGTCAGAGAACCAGTCCGGCTGGGAGCTCGACTGACGAAGGCGGTGTGGGTGATCTGCCATTGCCCTTCCCACGCGGCGATCGATTCTCTCACGCCTCTCCCGTCTTGATTCATTGCGCCATGGGCTTGTCGGAACCTGTGAACTTCTGTGTCTAAATCTTCCGACAGTCTGTCTCCTCACGGTGGTGCTTGGTATTTAAGTGCCTTGCCCCTCCCGTGTCCTGACCACCCTGCTTCACACGGTCCTCCCCTCACCGCAAACCAACTATCTCCCTCACTCCTCTCAACTGATAATCCCACCGAGAGCCCTCCCCGAAAACTAGCTCGACTCGCGTCGTTCAATCGCCAAGGATGGCCGTTGAACCGCTCTCTAATGGCGTCGGCGCTACCAACAAGAAGGTCGCTTACTTCTACGACTCTGATGTTGGAAACTATGCCTACGTATCTGGTCACCCTATGAAGCCGCACCGGATACGCATGACGCACAGCTTGGTTATGAACTATGGACTGTACAAGAAGATGGAGATATACGTGAGATTCCATAAACATTTCTGATAGGAAGATGGAATAAGAATCCCAATGCTAATGCGAAATCCCGACAGCGTGCCAAACCAGCCTCCAAATACGAAATGACGCAGTTCCATACCGATGAATATATTGACTTCTTGTCCAAGGTCACGCCGGATAATATGGATCAGTTTTCAAAGGAACAAAGCCGGTACAATGTCGGTGATGATTGCCCTGTATTCGATGGTCTCTTCGAATTCTGCGGTATCAGCGCTGGTGGCAGTATGGAGGGCGCGGCGCGTTTGAATCGCAACAAATGTGACGTCGCCGTCAACTGGGCTGGTGGTCTGCACCACGCCAAAAAGAGCGAAGCTAGTGGCTTCTGCTACGTGAATGGTGAGAGTTACGAAACCCTAATGATCGTTCACCCATGTATTAACAACTGTCAGATATTGTTCTCGGCATTCTAGAACTTTTGCGTTTCAAGCAGCGAGTCTTGTATGTCGACATTGATGTGCATCACGGTGATGGTGTTGAAGAGGCCTTTTACACGACAGATCGCGTGATGACAGTGTCTTTCCATAAGTACGGCGAGTACTTCCCCGGTACAGGTGAGCTGCGTGATATTGGTGTGGGTAATGGAAAGTATTACGCCGTCAACTTCCCTCTTCGAGACGGTATCAATGATCTCTCCTACAAGAGCATCTTTGAGCCTGTTATCAAGAGTGTGATGGAATGGTACCGCCCCGAGGCTATTGTATTGCAGTGTGGTGGTGATAGCTTGTCTGGCGATCGCTTGGGTTGTTTCAATCTGAGTATGCGCGGCCATGCCAATTGTGTCAACTTCATCAAAAGCTTTGATCTTCCCACCATGATCCTTGGAGGAGGTGGTTACACGATGCGCAACGTTGCGCGTACCTGGGCTTTCGAGACAGGTATCCTGGTCGGAGACAGCCTGGGCTCCGACTTGCCGTACAATGACTACTACGAGGTACAATTCCCCGAAATTTTGAACACTGCGTTTCATGTATTAACAATAACCCTAGTACTTTGCTCCCGATTACGAGCTTGATGTTCGTCCTTCCAACATGGATAACGCCAACACCAAGGACTACCTCGACAAGATTCGTAGTCAGGTTGTTGAGAATCTCAAACGCACCGCATTCGCGCCTTCCGTTCAGATGACTGATGTTCCTCGCAACCCGCTTCTCGAGGGCATGGACGATGATGCTGATGACGTCCTTGATGATCTCGACGAGGACGAAAACAAGGACAAGCGATTCACCCAACGTCGTTTCGACCAGTATGTTGAGAAACCTGGAGAACTTAGTGAAAGTGAGGACGAGGAAGAGAATGCCGCCAATGGCGTTCGTCGCCAACCAGGAGCCATTCGTCGTCGAAATATAACCAACTACAGGGATCTCGATCCTGCAGACTCCGGTCTCGACAGCGGAATGGCTACTCCGGCAAATGCCTCGTCTATTGCTGACGGTGACGTGGATGTCGGTCTGGATACCAAGATGACCGACGCCCCCCGAACAGAACCCGATGTGTCGGCCACGGCATCAAATGATCAAGATACCCCAGCCGATGTCGACCAAATGGTTCTTGAGGCCGAAGATAAGGATACCTCCGCTGCTGCCTCCCGGCAGCCTTCCCCTCCTCAAAATGACGAGGATACAGCCATGGAGGATGTTGCCCCGGCTCCCGAGGCTGACGATTCTGCGCCTGCGACTGACACACTGGAAGAAAAGAAGCCAGAGATATCGCCGGGAGTCGAGGGCTCGGGCAATACTCCTCTGTCCCCTCGGGGCCAATCCGCCTCGAACGAGCCATCTGCACCTGTGACGGACAAAAGGGATGAGGCACAGGAGCCTGCGTCCGTTGAGGGCTCGGAGGCCAAAGCTACAACTACACAGTCTGCTGGTGAGCCTACCGCAAAGAACGAGGAGTAAACGGAAGCAACTCCAGCAACAATATCGGATCTGGCGTAATGGGAAATGGGAAGAATGGTGTTATTGGTTTGGCAGCATGTTCACATCTTATTCGACCATGGGGGCGGGCTGTTTCTCTGCACGACGGAACGGCGAGGCAGATGTTTCACGATTTGCGGGCCATGTTTATTACTTGTTTCCTGGTTCATTTTGTCAAACAGAAAGACCATGTGAAGTACTTCTCATCCGTGAATTTGCATTCCGTTTTGGACGAGTTGATATGCCTGCGTCCTATGTGTTTAGTTTCTACTTTTAAACTGACAACCTTAGTTCTACTGCGAATCACTGCGAATGAAATACTCTGTACAATTGAGCGATTTAAGTTCAAGTTCTTCTCCTACTAGCACCACCTAGTAGTTGTTGATTCAATCTACAGTAGTAGATCTCTTGGTTGCGCTTGATCATTTCAAGACGCCGCTTTTGAAAAGGCCAGTCCCAGATAATGGTACTCAGCTCATGATATTAAAAGCCATGTATATACTTTCAATCTCAAGGTGGTGCTTTTGCTTAGCCCCGGAAATGGCCATGAGCCAACCATCCATTCCAGTTGTTGTTGTTCTAGGGCCCAGCGAATATAGTTACACAGTCACGTGACAGGTCATAACTTAGGTCATCATGCTAGGCTAGTCCCGAAGGAGGCTAGCGCTAGGGCAACCCAATCCACCAATGCGGCGCCAAGATTTTACGCACCGCACCCGCACACTAAGCGAGAAAGAAAGCACCGTGGATTCTTTGACCTTCGTCTCGCCTTCTCGCCAACCCACTTCGACTTCACTCGACAACCCCGTGTGATACTCGCCATCATGTCTACCAGAGGGTAAGTCTATTCGCTCTATACCCAGATAAACGAAAAAGAGAACCATGGGAGGAATTTGCCGACGATCTCGACGACCGAATGTGCACATTGAATGTTCATATTGAATGTTGAACATCTCGAGCGGGGAGGACGAAACGGACAACATGGAACTGGGATATACAATCGGAATGAAAGAATCAGCCCAGCTAACGGTTATCGCATTACAGTCGTGCCGGTGCCTCGGGCAACAAGCTCAAGATGACCCTCGGTCTGCCTACGTAAGAAATTCCCACACAGTCGTGTCTCTCTCGTCCGGTGAAGCTTTCGATGAACGCCTTTCGCCAAATACTCCGGTCCAATCAATTCTTGTCGACAATTATGGAAAATAGAAGCGCGGAGGGAAGAGAAGAAATCCTCGACAAAAGAACATACGCCATACGATTCGGAACCACCACGCCAAATATCTGTATGAAATGAAAGAATCGAAAAGCATTACTCGGACGAGGGGACTGGACACGACGCAACTGATGCGCTTTGCGAAAGAAATTACGAAAATACTAACGGTCGTCTTCGATTAGTGGCGCCGTGATGAACTGCTGCGACAACTCCGGTGCTCGCAACCTGTACATCATTGCCGTCGCCGGTACCGGTGCCCGCCTGAACCGTCTGCCCGCTGCTGGTGTCGGTGACATGGTCATGGCCACCGTCAAGAAGGGTAAGCCCGAGCTGCGCAAGAAGGTCATGCCCGCCGTTGTCGTCCGTCAGAGCAAGCCCTGGCGCCGCCCCGACGGTATCTTCCTGTACTTCGAGGACAATGCCGGTGTTATCGTCAACAACAAGGGTGAGATGAAGGGATCCGCCATCACCGGTCCCGTCGGTAAGGAGGCTGCTGAGCTTTGGCCCGTGAGTTTTCACCAAACCCCGCATCAGATGTGCATGGCACAATCTGGAATAGACCTTGATACTAATCATTTCACAGCGTATTGCCTCCAACTCCGGTGTCGTCATGTAAAGAGAGGAAACCGAATAAAAACAAAAATCAACGATACCATACCTGAAACTCCTTGGGACCTGGGAACACGGGGTGCATACGAGACATATTGTGGAAGAAAAAGGGAGGGGGTCCAACTGACGAGACGAATTCACCTGTGTTATTTCGAGCCGGTTTTCCTCCCATTCGTGTTTTTCTCTTTGAACACTGGCGATCTTCGGAAGTACTTGAAAAATACAACTTTTCATGAAAACATCCAACCGCTTTTCTTCTCTGTTGTATGTGATATCGGAGTTTGGGAGTATGGATTCTGCTATCATGGCGTCTTCATATTCTTGAACTCTGCCTAGACTCCCAGGGATATAGGCAGATTTAATCAAATCTGATCCCCTTGTTCCTGTCATGGGTTTGTAGTTGGTTTTTTGTAAATTATCAATGTGCACCTGAGTGTTGCTTCTAGCTGGACTGCATGCTCGATTAGCTATGACATTCTCATAATGAATTTCGTTGCAGCAATCTTTTAAAAAAAGCAAGGTCACTGGCTGTTACTTGTAGATTCCTTTTGTTACAATCAAGTAAAGGGAAACAATTTATTTGCAAGACCCAAAGCTAAATTTACTGGTGAAACCCTATGCTATTGTACAATGAACAAGCAATCTATCAATCTATTACTCCGTCGTCTTTTCCTGCTTCTCCTGTTTGGGTATCCTTTGCGCAGGACTCTGACCCTTCTTCATCGGACTTGAGCCTTTCTGCAGTGCATCCTTTGTAGACGCTTCAACGGGTCCAGTCAACCGGACCACCACCCAAAGCAAACAGACAATCAACGTGACGAGAGCGAGAACATGCACAGCCCACCAAATATGCTGTACACCGGCAGGGCACATCCTGATCTCGTAATCCCATTCGCCCGCATCAACGTCGAACCAAGCTGACAGAAGCCCAGCGTTTCCACCAAACTCACCCATCATCGACCGAAGTGTGACTTCGCGGATAGATGGAGTTTCTGACTGCATATTGGACTCGGTATATCTCTTTGCAGCCCACTTCCAGCTCTGTGGTGGAGTATTATCGGAAGTGTCCTCGTCCTGTTTCTTTTCCTCGACTTCATTGGTGTGGTTGACAAAATGAACGGCATCACAGCCAGTGTGGTCATGGCCCGTGAGAATGAGTCCTTTCCGACCCTGGCCACCACCAAAGGCATTCTCATTGCCAGTCATGCCAAAGATGCCCTCCAATATCCCCGATGCACTGATAAAGTCACTCAAATGGTTCTGCTCCCTCAGTCCACCTTCCTTCCAGCGCGGAACGCCATCAGGTCCATCGTCGTCATCATCTTCATGGAACGTAAAATATGGCCCATCGGTGCAGACTCCTTCCTTCTTGTGCAAAGGCAAGTGTGTGAGGAGGAGGGTAAACGTAGACCGGTCCTCAACTGGGTAGAGGCGCTTGCTGATAAGGTCGTTGAGATAACTGTAACTATGAGACTGAGCGGTCTCAGACAAGGCCGGGGTGTCGAATATAAGGGTGTTGAGGTTAATCAGATGCAGAGTTGGAGTAATGACCGGCATATCAGTCTCAGCAGCAACCTCCGATCCATTAGACCCAGGAACGATGGGAGGATGCTGGAAGCGAATATCCCAATTGGCACGGCCAAACTCGCGCTCAAAACGCTCCATCCGCGCCTCGCTAGCATCGCCTGCGTAGCCAATATCGTGGTTCCCCGCGATATTTATCACTCGTCGAGGCCACGCAGGGTCGGAGTTCGGTCCCAGGGGCTCGAGTTCCTGCTTCTCGGCGATATCGCCCTCAACGGCTCCCGTTCTCGTGATCTTGTCGTCAACCCTTTCTCCACCACGGAAAACACGAGTCCAATAGCGTTCGCTACGCCAGGAGAATTCGTCGTCGTCGATCCATTGACTTCCCAGAAGATCTCCCAGCACGGTCGTATGCGTGGGCCGAGTCCACCAGAACAAGGTGCGGTAGATGTGCGCGAGGTAGTAGTCGTTACCCAGTAGGTCGACGCGCTTTTGAACTGCCCGAAGTGATCGTGGGATATCCTTGCTTATAAGATCCCGTAGCCCTGAGGTAAAACTGGAGAGAACCTCCGGGTTCAGGAGAGACCTTGGGAACGGCGTAGTAGCTGAGGCAGCCTCCACTGCATCCTGTACATCCTGCCAATGTTTGCGTGCACGCGCGGCTAGTTTCCACTCCGGCAAAGGCAGAGACGTGTCTCCCTCGAGTTGAGGGTCTGCGAGGACTAGGAGTCGGAAGATTGCTGGCTGGGTGTTCGCCGCAGAGTCTGAGGCTCGGAGGTGTTGTAGGAGGGTGTTGGCGGAAGGATTTTGCCGTAAGGGCTCGAGGAAGGAAGTTGAACGATCTCCTGCTATTGGCGACTTCGATCGAGGCAGGGGAACGCACAGCCATTGAAGACTGGGTAAAGGTAGAGGTAGACTGTAGCAGAGAGAGCAAGCGGGAGCAGCAGCGCAACAATGCGAGAAAGGAGCGAACGGAGGAACATGAGGGTCGGGGTATTAGTAATAATATTATGGGGAGAAAATACACATCGTAACGAATATATAAAAGAATATGAGAGCGCGTGGTGGGATGGTGAAGGGTAAAAAGTCGATGCCCCGAGGGGGGTAAACAGCGGAGATCACGCCGCGCCCCATGGGCGGCAGAAGGCAAGGGTCAAGACTATACCATGACATCTCATCCGAGGATATCCCGTCAGAGAAACTAGTAGCAACAAATGGAGCCCGAGTCACCTGGTATTCATGAATAGCTACGAGGGATTTTTAAAGCAAAATTCACATTCTCCTGAGCTACCTAATATGCAATGAGTTGGAGAACTCGAATAGTAGTAGTACTACTCATACATTAATATTGTTTTCACCGCTAATGACTGTCTGCAAGTATGCAGCTTGATTGATGAACAACCCAGAAATTTTAGATTTCATAGTAAACTGCATACTACTACTAGTATATATCACAGGGGGCTCTTAAAAATGGCCTACTTATTACATAGGATGTCGCCCTAATTTGCTTGCTCCTATCTGCACATCTTGAGATCGGATCAACCCTGGAATTCCGTGGGTTAGATCAGGTACCAGCCAACTTGAACCTCTTTAGACCCCAAAATCTAGGGGTACTACATATACCCCGGATAATGTCTGGCAACTCTTGGCTTTCCCTTTCTTTATCCTTAACGTTTCTTTATAGTCCTAAAAAGCATATATTAGAGCTTACTCTACTTAACATACATAAAAAGAAGATACATGACACTTAGGTGGGAATCTTGGGAATATTAACTGGGTCCACAGTGGCACCAAACATAGTGCGGTAGAGGTTGTTCAGCTGTGCGATAACTGGCTCTGTGTGTGTGGTCCACTGGATAGAATAACGGGTGAACCAAGCCTTGAAACGGCAATGGAGATTGAAGACGCAGGGGAGCGTGGGAGGTATCTCTGCAGGTAGTATACAGCATCAGTCTGGTCGTACGGACGTAGGGTATTGTTTCTAGTTTGTGCTATCCGATCAACTTTGTGCAAAACAAGTACTGCCAAGGTGCAGCGAGGAGACGTAAGCCTGTGGCATCGAAGACAACCTCATTTTGGTTGAAGGCTTCCGTGGTAAGCATGCGTCGAATAGGGCCAGCGATAAACAACACTGTGTGGTTATTGAGCCATTCAAGCGCTAGTGCTGCGTTTTGCTTCGTGGCGTATGGCACGGAGAAGTAGCGCCGTATCTTTCGTGGAAAGACTTTCGTTAAAACAAATCAACGGTGTAAGTCCGCATACGGTTTCGAGTAGGAGGGTATTGACCACACCTCCGACGGCGATGATCGTGAGCTTTCTGTTCTTGCTCACTAGATATGCCGAGAGGTGCTGAAGGGCACCAGCGAGGTCTCCTGGGAGAGGGTGGTGTTTCGCTTGCGTTTTGGTGGCGGGCGAGTTCACGTAAGGCCCCTGCACTGCGCTTCCGTCGTAGATTTGTTAAGGCTTGTCCCATCGTGTTCCTGTGACTTTGATGGTTGGTTCAATCTTTAAGTTGTGGAGAGAGCGCACATTGATGGCGTTGGGAAGGCGGGTGCCTATTAATTGGAACATGGATCCTGTGCAAGAGAGCTGCACAGAGCTTTCTACAGAAAGGAGATCACAATGTCTGCCATTTGGATTTTTTACCGAATATGTTAATAGAAAATTGAAGAATCAACATTAGAATAGCGCGAAGCCAACATTCTGGCGTTCTGTGTTCAATGTGAAGGTGGCTGTTGAGGTCGCCAATCTCTCGTACAACTTTGGTCCAAGGACAAGCGAGTTAGAAGCACTAGCCATGAACGTATCGCTGTGTAATGGATGCTAGCCAGAGCTGTAGATTAGAGCTAGATTATAATTTTGATAAATCATAAATTTGTTGCCAGCAAGATGTTTTTGATTTCGAGACTGTGATATTTCTGGATTAGTAGCTAAAAATGGAGTCATAGATTGGGTAGGAGAGCAAAGAAAACCAGACTCATTCACGCTCTGAGCATCATGAGAAAATTAGATCAAAACTTTGACGGGCTCCCTTCGCTCATTGTCTCGCAGTCCTCCGACAATAGATGGATTCACAAGTAAACATTTTGCTTCAGCGGCAAGACCTGGATATCCCCTGAAAAACTCCCATGCTGTATATAGAAGATTCCAAAAGCCTCCTTGAGAAGCGATCGTACGCTCATACGCATCCTGTAAGCGACTGAAAGTAACCCATTCGACCCCAGCACCCTCGTGAATATGTCCGAATATATGTAGCCTTGGGCGAACCTTCCACAGTGTCTGTAGTAGATGAGGACATCCAGATTTCAGTAGGTCGAGGTGGGCAAGTGGCGGTCCATGGGTGATGAGAATATCGATTCCTTCCGGCACCGAGTTTGCCCATACGTCTTCGCTTCGGGGGTATTGAAATGCCCAGTTTCCGTGACGCGGAGAATAAGGGCTTCCGTAAACCCTGAGTTGTTGACCATTTGGGCAGCAGATTGTCACCTCGTTATTTTCCAAGTAGATTATGTCACCCCAATCTATATTTTCCCGATCTGAAGATGTTTGGATAGATTTGTCACTCAACTTGGCATCAAGTAATAGTTCGTGGTTACCGGCAATAACGACTTTAATGGGGTGAGGCTGGGCACGTATCCAGTTGAGTGCTTCTTGGAGTTCCTTTAGAGATCCAGATTGTGTCAAGTCACCAGCATGTATCAGGATGTCACCATCCGGGACTTGAACGTTAGCATGAGCGTTGTGGGTATCGGAGAGGCAAACAATCTGGACCGGGTTTGTAAGAGGGATGGCTGGAATGGGCTCGCGCCAACAATAAAGCTTTCGGGCCAGAAAAACGCAAGGGCGGGCCCAAAATTTTTCCCAATGGCTAGGTCTCTGTCGGTTGAGGAGTTCATCGAGGCTGGACATGGTTGGCAGCTTTAAATGGTGAGAAATGGCTTGTTAGGACTTGAAGGAGGTGTAAGTAGTTTACTTTGATCCGACTTGGGGAGACATCAAGCGGAACCATTCCCGATTAGGTACTCTCGTTGGCACGAGTATGTCATGGCAGGTCATGTGACTATGTATCTCTAATTCAACAATCGACTTGGACTTGCTAACTGGTAAAGCGGGGGATGCTCGAGAATTCACCAACCCTGCTTGAACTAGATAACCGCATTCAAGGAAGCTGAAAATATTTGCCAGTATCTCAGGTATTGCCAGAGCATAACTTGAGGACGCCATATTCAATCCAAGGTTCTACTAGAATTTGACGTGAGGTTAATGAATCTCTAGAGGGAGATGGGGATATGAAGTGGTCGGGGCTCATTCAAGCCTTTTGTACTTATTCATGTCGAGTCAGGTTGTGGATGTTAATGATGCAAGAAATCCTTGTCGGATTCCTATTGGAAGAATAAACAAAGGTAGAGAAAAGACCAGGGGAATCTTTCCATTTTTGAATGCTATCCACGGAACGTCCTCGACCTGAAAGAGTATTATGCAAGCCTTTTTTCGTAGCATTACGCCCTCCTTCGGCATCATTGGATAACGGGTGTTCCATTCAAGTTTCTACGCTAGGAAGGTTAGTCATGGGGGGAAGGATGATAAAGAGCTTCCAATGCATATAAAGATAAGGGAACAAGGATAACGCGTCATAGAAACCATCCGGTGTGAGGATGCTCAGACCACAGAGATCAAGATACGACGTAGCGATCAGGTAAAGGAATAGTAGCGGCTCGACGAACGTAATAGCTTGGGGAGAAGAAGCAGGAAGCCGAAAGACGCCGGCTAGGCGGTGGATGCGTGAGTGGGTTTCACGGGCGTAGGGCATCCATAACAATGGTGACGACCTAGTTCTTTACATCCAGGTCCACGCAGTGCTCCCCTAGCGTAGAATCTTCAACAATACTACTAGAAGTATATGGCAATGAGATAAAGATATGCTTGAAGAAAATCAGGTCAAATCATACTAGAAATCCAAATGCATCATGTATATGAAAGCCAGGTGATTATAATTATCTACACACTCGTAAAGAATCAACTCGTCCCCAAAATCTAGCTAGGAAAAAAAACCCAAGATCAGATGAAGCAACGACTGATTCACTCCTCCACAAAGCCAAACTCATCAAGCACACACACATACATACACACTGCCCACATAAACCCTTCGTGTCCACATAACAAACAAAAGCTGGCCAAGGCCAGGAAAGAATGGAACAGAAGTCGGTACGAGGGGTATATCACATCAAACGCCAAACGGTGGGGGGATGGTAAATGGTCCAAAAGTCAAAGGAAAAAAGAAAAGTAAAGAAAAGAAAAGAAAAGAAGAGAGGTGGAAGAAGATTAATCGCAGTGGTTTCTCAAAATTAGAGGTCCGTCTGCCAAAATTGTAGCAGTAGTATCTTGGCAAAGCAAGAAGACTACTGCGATTCCATCTTAGCCAAGGGGCTAGGAAGGAGGGATATATTTCCAGTGTCGATTTCTCCAAGGGGGTTGGACATGGGCCGATCGTTGGCTGTTGGCGTGTTGTCTTGGATGTCCGCCTTTGCATCAACGAATGAACTGGAATCGGTTGATGGCGCCTTGGCCAAATTCAAGCCTTCGATCCGAAGCCCGTGCTCTTCTTCGTCTTCCTCTTCAATTAATTCGTCGGGAAGGCGGTCGGACTCGGAGGCATTGGCCATCAAGGCGGGTGGGCGTTGGTTCATCAGCCGGGCTTGTTTCAAACTGATCGTCTTTTGTTTGTTGGTACTCTCCGCCACTTGGGACAAATCACGTTCAATGGTAGCCTTCATCAGGGCCGCCATCCACAAACGACCTTCCTGAACATTATCAACCTGGAAGTAGTGGGTGGTGGGTTTGGTGAATTGGACAGTTCGTGAGTTACCTGACTTTGGCGGCACGAGCTTGAAGAAGAAAGGTCCGCTCCCCTCCTTGCTCGCAAGTGAGGCAAGAGCTGCAGGCGTGGTGAGTTTGGAAGCTTCGCTGGCGTTGGCATTGGCAGGCTGCGAGGTGGAACCAGTCACTGTGGCGTGCAGCGCGATTATAGGATCATTATCTGCCCGCAGCACACGGTGGGCTGTGATGTCGATGAGGCCTCGCTCTTCAGTATCTTCCTCGGAGTAGTAGTAAGATAGACGACGGCCACGCAGAACAAAAAGTCGAGGCTTCCATGTTGTCATGAGATTGGATGATCTCTTCTTCATCCATCCGCTGTAGTCGCAGCCAGCCATCTGCTCCTTTGGCGCCTTCTTCTCGAGACCGCGAGTATATGCACTAGTGTCTTTTTTGGATTTGACGGTCCGGGGGCGAACCATCATGCCGCCGGCGGTTTCAGCAGCTTTACCTGACCCATCGGTACTGTGGCGTTCAGAGCTCTTGGAGGTCGCCGAAGGAGTTGTAGACCCAGTACGACCAGACGTAGGGTCGTAATCACGGGGTGAGACCGGAGCTGAGCTATCAGTGCTGCCCTTTCCAACAACATCAGAAATAGCGCGAAGGCCAACGGCCCGTCGAACTCTTTGACTTGCACCGCCGATTTTCGGGAGAGTGAAGGGTAATGGCGAGGCACGTGCGGAACTATCCGAATCACTACCCTTCTTCATGAAGGGACCGAGGCTTGAAAAGAAACCGGGCTTGATATCTTGGGAATCATTACCGCTTCGCTCAGAGACACGGGTACTCAAACTCCTAAAACGACTCTTTGGTGGCGTGCCGTGATAATTCTCGGCCGCAGTAGAGACATGCCTAGATGCATCACGTATAGAGTCAACACTGGCGATGCGAGACTGACGTTTGCCAGTGGCCTTGGCGACCCTGTCATCCGCGTAGCTTGACTTTCGGGAATGACTGAGGCTCCCACTGGCTGATGTTCGCTTCTGCAGAACGCGTCGATTTCGACGGGAATCCACCTCAGTTCCGGAGAAGTAGCCTCGATCGAGGTCATCCATGTGCTCGGGCGTGTTGGGCTCTGATTCCGTAGCGGCGAACTGTGGACCGCGGTACGCTGTTGTACCTAGTGAAGTCCCCGGGCGAGCTGGTAGAGCGTGACCCCCACTGTTGAGAGTCCAGGCCCGATCGAATGATGGCTTTTTCTTATGGCCATTCATAGATGAGTCGGGGAGACCGCGATGGGTTGTGTCGATAGAGGAATGTCGTCGTGTATGATTGAGGTCACGAATGGAGGCCGCAGAGATTCGTCTTGGCGAATCAAGGCCGTAGGGAGGAGTGTGAGGTGTGACAGGAGAGCTAGCATTGCTGGCTAATCTTGGGTGTTGGCCAGGGACGGCGGAAACTCGGGAGTAGCCTGCGCCAGTCTTCTCCGACACGGTCGGGATGCGTGGTAAGAAGGGCCCAGTATGACCAGCACGAGACAGCGATCGTTCTTCGGGACCATTGGAGAAGCCGGCGACGGAAGCTCTTGTGGGGGCCTGATTCTGGGGTTGTTTCAGACCCCGGACTTCTTCTTGAAATGCCTTGACCTTGTGCCAGGTCTTGAGCCGTTTGCCCATAACACCAAAGTCGAACTCCTTCATGAAGATGAAATCTTGGTCCATATCAAGGAGCACATCACCTGTGATTTCTTGTTCCTCGAAAATTTCGCAGTGTTTGGGATCCATTCCGAGCTCTCGCATTTGCTTGGCGGTTTCAGTTTGATTCCATTGCCGAACCTGTTCTTCAGTGGGAGCGTCGCCCTCCTCCTCGTCTGTCTCATTCCCATTAATGTATGAGATTCGATGGCTGAAGTGGCTACTGTATTCGCTACCCGAGTCATTGATTGTCTTTGCGTCTTGTGTCGACACGCTGTGACGGGGCGTGTTCATATCGGTGATGTGCTCGTCAATGACGCTCAAGGTTTCGTTCATGACGGGGCTTTCCTCGCCATTCGCATGGCTATCAATGGATCGTCGGAAGGTCTGCTGAATATCCGCCACCAGGCTTGGTAGCGGGAGTGGCGAGGAAGCAGATCGATTTTGCTGGGGGGAGTCCACCGATTCGTAGACATCGGAGGTGCTTGCGTGTCGCGATGCCTGGGGGGGTTGTTTGTTCGCTACCGGTTGAGATGAAAGACGAATCCACTGGTGTGGAGGGTTCGATTTGTGCAGGCGATTCGGTATTTTCGGAAGCGATCACGCCCTGGGGGGAGGGGTTGGTATTAATGGCACCTAAATTAGCTGGGCGCACATGAGCCCGAGGGAGATCGTGAGCCTCGGCCTTGCGGGTGAAACCTATGATGATGAGCGATCAGTTTGCGGGGACGATTGCGATTGTTCATTGACGTGGGCGCATACATGCAGGGAAGAGGCCCTTTTGGCCGGAGCGAGTGTGCTCTCCCAGCCACCATCCATCTTGAAATTCCTCATCCATCTCCTCCAGATGGATGACATCGCCGCGCATCATCTGCAATTCATCTTCGTTACGCTTGAAGTGATCATCTAGATTTGGGGGGTTAGCGCATGGTTGGGGGAGGAACGAGCGAGAGGGGTACATTGCGCTCACACGCTCACGCTCACGCGATTGCGGCAATCGCAATCGCGCAAAGCGCAAGGTCGGGTCGCACAGAGGGAGACGTACGAAAGGCGACCAGATAATCCCCCCGCTGGACGTTCTTAGGGGGCGCGGGCGAGGCCAGCGAATGGTCGGCCATTTCGCGATGATTTTTTGTTGGGGGGGGAGGGACCCAGAACCTCTCCGATCGAAGGAAAGTGGAAACAAGCCGAGGCGAAGATTATGGCAGGTCAGTTGTAGGGCATGGGGGGCCCGGGGCAGCCCTTTCGAGGGGAGAGAAGGCAGCGGAATTGGAATCTCGCGATGAAGAGAGTAATGTGAACTCAATATCAATGTCTCGGGGGGGGAGGAAGGGGAGGGAATGCCAGAAGGTCGAGGAATCTAGCGCGCACGAAGGCCGGGCTTAGGTCATTAGCTCGCGGGGTTCGTAAGGAACTAAGCTGGAACTGTCGGAAGCTTTGTTTGTACCTTTTGAGGTGTGGCGAGATAGACGGAGTAACGGAGCAACGAAGTCACGGAGTAGTGGCTGACCCGATCTCCCATGCCACGATCGCAAATGACGGGAGAGATGGGGGAGAGAGAGGGTCGAAGGCGCAGAATCGTAGATTCCAGGAATCTGATGTGGAATGATGTGGGAATGGAGTCGGGAGTCCCACAGATGAAAGGTGCCAAGGTGGAAGGAAGAAGGAAAAGAAGCAAAGAGAAGAGAAGCAAAAGAGCCGAGAAGTGAGATCCCACGATAGAAAATGGAAAACAGAAAAAAGAAAAATCAATGGAATAAAAACCAAAATATCGAATATGGAGATGAGCCGAAGTGACGTGTGCGGTCGTCAAGGGTTCTGGACCAAAGTATCCACGGTAGACTCTGAAGTGGAGTGGAAATGGAGGACAGTTGAATGTAGGGAGAGAGGAGGGGAAAGAGAGAGAGAAACAATGGAAATGACAAGAGGATGGAGTATGAGTACCCTAATGTAAACAAGAGAATCAGGGGATGGGGACACTTGAAGTGGAAAGGAAGGGAAAGTGGGATTGGGATTTGGCTGAACACGGCCATTTTGAGGCCCAATTGGGAGTGATCGATCTATCGAGTGCAGTAGGTACAGTATAGTGTATGAGTATACTATACTGTGTGCAGTATAGTACATGGATATTATGATTATGATTATGATTATGATTATGATTATGATTATAATAATAATCATATATCTATGGTATACATAGATCATATCTGTATACTCGTGGTAGTCGTAGACTGTAGTACTAGTATACTGATGACCCTAGTATACCGGCATCTGTATAGCCTAATGCGGATGGCGATCATGGCATGTCCCTGTCTGTTTGCTAACGGTATACAGGGGTATAATTAGAATAATAATTATTACTCTTACTATTATTATTACCATTACCATTCACCATTACTATTACTATTACGGAGTACTATTACTATTATTACTATTATCTGACCTGTCGAGTCCCGAAGACTGTGAAAACGGCTTGGGCCTGGGCTTGGGCTTGCAGTAGAGCCGTGGGTCTCTTTGTTTCGAGCAAACAACATCTTTAGCGCTGCTTCTCTCTGCTCTGCTCTGCTCTGCTCTTCACGGTTCCTACTTTACTCTCGCTCTCCCTTTGCATACCCATAAACCATGGAATTTCCGCAACCATGACTTCCCTACGGCGACACTCGCGTGGTGCCGACAATATTGAACTCTCCAATTCCACTGCCAACCTCTTTATGGGTGCGGGGGCCCGGAAGAACTGGATGCTTGCTCAGTCTTCAACTTCAACTTCACCTTCACCTTCTCTCCCGACAGCCTCAGGGCACGCGATGCGTCCCACACTGCCCACAACTTCTGCTATCCCTCGGCCTGATTCTAATTCTCATCCTAACTCTAATTCCGCTCCGGATGCCAACAAACATGCTCATCCTCAACAGCCCGCTCTTGATCCTGCAAGCGCGTTGATGTCGCCCGTTACTCCGGGCGCAAATCTGCCCGCTCCCTTGCAGGATGCCACACATCACCAACCTCAACCACTACCCCAATCAGATATTCCACCACCCAGCCTCCCCTCACCCGTCCTAAGCGCGAGCTCTCACGCCAGCCCCGATATCCCTCACCCGCCGGCTACAGGAACAACCCTGTCCGACAACGACCAGAATGAGCACGCGAGCGAGAACGAGAACGAGAATGAAAATGAAAATGAGACCTCCAGGCCACACCAACAACTCGACATTACACCTCTCGCCCAACCCTCTCCCATAGCGACATCCACCCCGACAAATACAAATGTGCAATCCAATGCACAGTTTCCTCCTGCGCCTCGACAGGAGCCGATGGTTGCAAGTCACCACCAACCTCAAAATACCGCCCGCGATCTTACCCAAAGCCATGTAATGTGGCTGGGATGGCAGCCTGGGTTGAATACTCTTCTGGAAATCGGTCAAAAATCAACAGCGGCAGTGAATGCAAGGGCAATGCTGCTGCAAAAGGCCTTCCAATACCGGGATCACTTCTACCTCGTGTTGCACCAGGTACACTGCCGATGGGCTGTCTCTGGATATCAAGATTTCCCAGAATTTCAATCACCAGCCATTCGACAAGGATTTAGGAAACTGAACGAGCTTCTGACGGATAACGCACTAATACCCCATGATGTCATGTCCAGATTTGTCGCCTTTCCGCGAAAATATGAGGATCTAAAGGACGCAGATTGGTATCGCATGGACTTTGGATTGTTAAACAACCTACTCCCACGCCTCCCAAGTCACTTTGTACACCTTGTGGACCGAATTAATAGAGGTTACTATCATGCTCGCCGTTATCCACCGCTCATAGTTGAGATGAGGGCGGATTTGCAACTTACATCACCAGTCCTATTGAGCGTGATCTTTACATCGACATGTCGACATATCTATCCGGACGAGTATCTTCCACTTCTGCAGGGGCTGTTTGAAAAAGATCTTGCGACGAATCATGCCGATTCCGAGAAATTCAGACATGTCTTGATCCAAAATTTTCAACGCATTCCTATGAAGCCGTTTGACTCAGCGCCACAATTCCAACCTGCGCCACGAGCCCGGCCACCAAGAACCTCAACGTCTCCGTTTCCCGTTTTACCCAGTCAAATGAACCTTTCCACGACACCTCAAAATTCAACAGCCGCCAGTGTGCCTCAGAATCATCAGCCGCCAACTGTCCTATCTAGGAGGCCCTCGTATGCGTCGCCAACCACTATAGGGAGTCCCCAAATGTGGCAGGCACCCTCAGGACAGATGCAACAACCGACGCAGATGCAAAAGCCAGAGTCCATGCACTACTCTAACGGACAGTCCCGGTCTGGTCCCATGCAGCAGCTTGTAAATATGCCAACACAAGCCCAATCTGTCTCACCTCTGCCACAAAATCCCCATTCCCTTCAGCTGCATAATGGGCAAATTAGGCAGAACCATCAGTCCCAAATGGGCCAGGGTCCCCAGGCGCACCATGCAATTCAGGCCCAGCGAGTTGCCTCCGTCCCGAATTTGTCCTACCCGCAACATGGTGTCCCACACGCGCCTTTTCTCACGTCTCAGCCACAAGCACACTCTACTGCACCACATCAGCCTCATATGCAGTTCAACTCCAATAATCCGCAGCAGATGAGCTCGATGGGTCGCCCTCAGCTACAATCGCCTATCCAACCGTACCATGGTAGCCACGGCTCGCCACAAATCCCCCATTCCCAACAAGTTCGACAGCAGAGAGTAGCATCTGTACCGACAGTTAACACGCCCACGGTGCCTTTCGTCCCACCTCCTTCATCCCGGCAGCCATCCACTTCTTTACTTCCACCTTTGGGATATAGAGTGCCGCAGTTGGTGCAGCCGAACCCGATGCGGTTAAGCCTACATCAGGTGGATCTTCGTGACCCGATCAAGAAACTGGTCCATTGGGACTCCAGCGTGATGGTTGAGAAAGAATTGTTCTTTTATATGAATGGCTTTGCCATCCCACCAAAGTTCATGGACTTGGAAGAAACGTCCTGCAACTGGAGCTTCCAAGTGTCAGCAACGGATCTGCTGAGAGCCACACGCCTTGTAAATGGCAAATCAGGGAAACGACCGACCGCTTGGTATCAAGAAGGTAGCCTATCTCTTCGCTTACGATCGATTGCACTGGGGAACCTTGAGAAAGACAAAGTTTATGACACATGGCCCACTGCAAATACCGCTTGGCCTAGTGTGTTTTACATCCATGTCAACGGTACGGAGCTCTTTGTCCGCCGCAAGACCCACAATGGCAAGGACCTTCCATTGGATATTACTCAACATCTCAAAGAAGGCGAGAATACCCTCTCGCTTCACTTTCTTTTGGAGCCTGGCGAATCCAAGAAATACCGCTATGTGTTCGGAATTGAGCGTATGGAAACCCACGGGTTCGACAAAGTGCGACAACAAGCGTGCTCCTCACCTGCCAGAGGTACCCTCCAGAAAATCCAAAAACGCCTATGTCCAATAGCAGGCGACGACGACGAGTTAGCTGTTGTGTCTGATAGACTGACTGTCAGTCTGATTGACCCATTCATGGCCCAAATCTACAACATCCCCGCTCGTTCCGTGCACTGCGACCATTTGGAATGTTTCGACATCGACACATTCATAAACACACGGAAATCAGAGTCAGGGCCCGCGCCAATGAATGACAATTGGCAGTGTCCGATATGTAAAGCAGATGCTCGCCCAATGCACCTGATCATTGACGAATATTTTGTCGATGTTCGCGAGAAGCTCATCTCTAGTAACAAACTAGAGGGCACCATAGCGATCGATGTTCGAGCTGATGGATCTTGGACTACAAAGGTCGTCAGCGACGAGCATTCCGACAGGCATGCCTCCGACACAGCGTCAGCTAAACGTAAAGCCACTAGTCCCCTGGACCGGGAAGCTTCGCGCGCCAAGCAGGAACTCTCACCCCCAATCGGGAATACGGAGCACACAGTCATTGAAATAGACTAATGATGTGTTTAATGACAATTGTATGGTGCCGGCTTTTTCTAGCGCTTTCATCCTGCCTCTGCTAGACAGAAATGCCCTGGATACCCACATCGTCGTCTTATCCTTCTTTCTTGTTTTGATTTTTTTTTTTGCTTCGAGCTATAGATACCCCAGCTTTTACCTATTCATTTTGGAATTTTTGTTTTCTTCTCTTCTCTTCTCTTCTCTTCTCTTCTCTTCTCTTCTCTTCTCTTCTCTTCACTTCCCTTTCCTTACAAGCTTTAAATCCACCAAAGTCAAGATGGCCGCAGGCGTTTTATTTTGTTATCGTGCCGTTGTTAGTCCCGGGAGGATTTACACACATTTTACCACCTGGAAAAGGAAAAGCAAGAGCAATTCTATTCGTTGTACAGTCTATTACCCAGCAATCTGTCTACGGACGGACCTTTCTGTTTGAGCTGTTGATCAGATCAAAAATGATATTTTATCAAATTCCTTCTTATTTTCTCCACGGTCTACACATGTGCTTTCCATAATTTGAAGGGGAAAACCGCTTCGCGTTATAATATTATTATGGGCAAAGTTCTCTCTCGGTAGAAGAATGCTTTATTAAGCTTGTTTGTTGGCCATTCGGATCTGGCTCCTCTTAGTCTATACGGGGCTGAGAGAACACTGTTTACACTGGTGCCAAGGTAACCAGAGGAGTAAAAAAAGATCATGCTCATTCAGCGGAGAGGTAATTCCACTTCGACATTAGATTATACAAAGATTTCACATATAGATATTTAGATGGCTTCTATTCGAGGCATCATTTCCTTACACGCCGAACATGGCTGACAAGGTTTTCAATGACACCCTCGAAGGCCTCTTTTTCACTGACAAGACCATCTCGCCGCTTAAGCCAATACTCCAAAACCGCGCTGGCGCGCAGGGTCACATTCTCCAGCTCCTTGACGTGGGAATTCAGTTCCTCATCAGTAAAGCCGCCGAGGGCAGCGTCGGTAGTCGCACACAGTCGGTGGACGGAGGAGAGTTCGATTTCTGGGGGCGGTGCCGCGCCGCGGCGGGCAGCCTTTTGACGCGAAGGGGCCTGCCCTGTCGTGGCTGTATTTTCGGCACCGTTTTGTGAGTCTTCGCCTTCTTTGCGGTTTTGGCTGCGGGCTCGGCCGTTGGGGGTTGTGGCGCCTGACCCGTCGAGGTCAATGGAGGGGAGGACGAGCTTCTTTTGTTTGGAGGCGGGGAGGATCTCATCTAGGTCGACGGGGACGCCGAGTGATACGAGGAAGAGTCGTCGAATGCGGGATTTGACCCAGTTCTGTGGTTGGAGGGGTGGTGGGGCGACGAGTTGGGACCATAGTGAGAGAGAACGCTCTGTGCTGAAGATTGCGGCAGAGTCGGGAATAGGTTCAACGGGAGGGAGAGAGCTGAGGTCTTGTGACGCGGGGAATAGGTTATCAAGGGTGCCTTCGAGGGCACTGAGAAGTTCGCTTGTGGACGTGTATGCGTCGAAGTCGATAAGTGGAGGCTGTCAGAGTGAAAGTGTTAGCTGTTTGCAGCACGGAAATCATTGTCGGGGGTGTTCAACTCACGGCAGAGGGAAGGGAGTAAGGTTGCTGAGATGTAGTGCTGTCTGCTGCAGGGGCATCATCAATGGTAGCCTCTTGGAAGCCATCGTCGAAATCTCCAAAGTCATCGTCGACCATGTCATTCTGCTCTTCGACGAAGTCATCGAAGTCATCTGCACCACCTTCTCCTTCATTCACTTCTCCGAAATCATCTTCTTCTATATCTTGTGGAGCTTGTTCGTGCTCAGTAAAGGGGATTTCTGGGGTGATTGTGGTGTCGGTCACCGTTTCTATGACATCAGGCGTGGCGTCGCTCGGAGACCTTCGGTGGTGGGCTCGCAGCTGTGGTGAGGTATCTTCGTCCATGGGCAAGGAATCGACTCGCGAGATATGTGTTTCCGGGATTGGTTGGCTTGGGGGGGCTAACATCAGGGGATGCATCTTCCGAAGATGGTGGCGGTTGGACACTTTCGGGGTCGGAGGTGGACTTCACGAAATCTGGCACCGCATCCGCTTGACGCTTTTCAAATGCTTCTGTTCCTGGGATTTCGCCATAGCTGGGCGACTCTGGGTCGACCTTCTCGACCATTGTTCGCGGGATTGGCGAATCACCTGAGGTTGTCGGCCGGTCGTTCAACCCCACCGGCGAGGGATCCCGACTTGGTGAGCCCTCTCGGATAACTTCGACCTGATCTGGAACTGCATCTTGGTCTCTTATGTTGTATGCTTCCGTACCGGGCACCTCGCCATGCTGGGGATTGCTGTCGACTCGTTCCACTCGAGTGCGTGGGACAGGGGAAGTGCGAACAGAATGTGGGCTTGATGATTGTTGTTCGTGACCTTCACTCGCATCTGAAAAATGTTCTTCGTCGCTATCTGAGACTAGATAGTTGTAGATGATCCAATTAGTACTTCAAGTGGGACATTGACCCGGGGTATTGGAAGCAAACATACTGGTATCCTCAGCTCCAGGGTCGTCCCTCTCTGTAGTCTTGCTGGGGAGTTCAAGGTGTGTGGGGGGATCTGGCGACACCTCCGACATGGTTGCAGGTGAACTCAAGTCGGGGGACATGGAGAGATAGAGAGGGAGGGAGGGAGGGGGGAAAAGAGAAAGAGGAAAGGAAACGGGAAGAAATGACGATGTAGATGTAGTGTGTAGCGTGGTTGTCGACATGTCTTCCCTGCAATCGACCGAGTCCAGAACGTTTGTGGCCTCAGGCAGAAATGATACCGTTGATGCCTGAAATTACTGGCGATCACGAGCGCGTGAAACCCAAACTCACTCGCCCGATTTATTATTGCTTAACTCTTTCTACCCCAAGCTTCCCCCTCACTCTCCGCTGGGTTGAATCTTTCATTGTTTTGAAGAGACTGTCTCTCTTATTTCACCTACCGCGATCCATCTCGCAGGATTACCTATCCCCTGATCCGTCGCCAATCGACTCTCCGTCTACTTTTTTCCCACCCACCAAGCTTGCCAATTCCCTTGATCGCGAGATCGCTTCGCCATGTCCTTTTCCTTCGGCGCCCCAGCATCTAGCGGAGCCCCAAGTGGTGGTCTCTTTGGCACATCCGGCAATGCATTCGGATCCAACCAGAATAGTTCGACTCCCAGCTCTGGCGGTGGTCTTTTCGGAAATGTAGGAGCTTCGTCCGCCAGCGGAGGTGCCGCCGCTTCACCCTTCGGCGCAACCCCAACTGCTGGTGGCTCTGCCGCTGCTAAGCCCTCGATTTTTGGATCCGACAACGCTGCGTCTAAGCCCGCAGGTTCACAGACCTTGTTTGGTGGTGGTGGTGGTACTGCTAATGCTGCTCCATCCAGTGGTGGCAGTACAGGCTTCAGTTTCGGAAACCTGGGAACCAACAACAGCAACAGCACACCTAGCGGTACCTCACCTCTGTTCGGCAATGCTCAGACCCCAAACAAGACAACGGAATCGACAACATCTGGACAGCCAGCCACCAGTGGACTGTTTGGAGGCGCCAGCAAGCCGGCCGCGGGTGGCAGCTTGTTCGGAGCCAATGCGTCCGCCACCCCTGCTCCAGCTGGCAATTCACTGTTTGGTAACACTTCCACCACTCCTGCTGGTCCTCCTCCAGCATCTAAACCTAGTATGTTCGGTGGAATGAATGCAGCTTCGTCAAATGCGCCTGCGTCTTCCGGTCTCTCGACCACCCCAGCAGCCACACAGTCGCAACCATCCGGTGGCTTATTTGCGGCCAACACTGGCGCCGCCGCCAACAAGCCTGTGTTTGGAGGTGCACCCTCTGCTCCAACTGGCGGAGGTCTGTTCGGAAATACCCCCAAGCCCGCCGAGTCTACAACCCCATCTACGACCGCCGCCCCAGCCTCTAGCGGCGCACCCTCCATGTTCAAGATGCCTTCTGCTGGCGGCGACGCGGCTTCTAAGCCCGCATTCCCCTCTCTCGGAGGCGCTTCCACTACTCCGACATCCACCGCAGCTGCTCCTCTGGGTGCTTTGGGAGCACCCGCTGCCTCATCCTCTACTCCTCAGAAGTCCTTCTTTCCTACCCCTGGAGGCACCACATCCTCAGAAAGTCAATCGTCTACGCCAGCGGCAGCTCCGGCCGGAGGCTCGCTCTTCGCGGGGCTGGGTGGAGCCAAGACCACCTCGGCTGCTGCTCCCTCCACGACCGCGACCAGTGCTGCGCCTGCCTCAACATCTGCCTCTCAGCCAGCTGCACCAGGCTTGTTCGGCAAACCAGCTACATCCACAGCCTCAACTCAACCTGCTACTGGTGCTGCAGCTACGTCGACCGCGGCTCCAGCTACTGGCGCCGCGCCAAGCTCCGGCACAAACCCTGCCCTTGGTCAGTCGACCACTGGTCCGGCGCCTCCGGCTCAGTCGCGTCTAAAGAATAAGACTATGGATGAGATCATTACTCGTTGGGCTACAGATCTGAACCAGCACCAGAAAAAGTTCCGTGACAACGCTGAGAAGGTCGCAGAATGGGATCGGATGCTGGTTGAGAATGGAACCAAGGTTCAAAAATTGTACGGTAGCACTGTCGATGCAGAGCGAGCTACACAAGAGGTGGAACGCCAGCTGGCATCTGTTGAAGGTCAGCAGGATGAGCTGAGCTCGTGGCTGGATCGCTATGAACGGGAAGTCGACGAGATGGTTTCCAAGCAGGTGGGCTCTGGTGACGCCTTGCAGGGGCCAGACCAGGAGCGTGAGAGAACGTAAGTGACCAACAATCTCCCATTGAGGTTGATTCGCATGACTAACCTGATCTATAGTTACAAGCTTGCCGAGAAACTCTCGGAGCGTTTGGATGAGATGGGCAAGGATCTGACCAGCATGATCGAGGAGGTCAATGGCGCTTCATCGAGCCTGAGCAAGACCAACCGAGCAGATGAACCGGTAAGTTTTCGTTCAAATTTGTTGTTTTCTGGATGCAAGAGACGAATACTAATATTCTTTTTCTTCTCAAAGATTTCCCAGATTGTCCGCATCCTCAACTCGCACTTGTCTCAACTGCAAGTTATTGACCAGGGCACCTCCGAGCTGCAATCCAAGGTGTCTGCTGCCCAGAAGGCCGGACAATCCATTTCCTCTCGACTTGGATATGGCTACAATAGCCCTGGAATGGGTGGAGGAAATGCCGCCACTGACTTCTATCGCTCTTACATGGGCAGACGTTAGAATATGATTCGTGCTGGATGTGTAATGATTCGAATTTTGCGGGAACAGTGCAATGGGATACCATGGGGAAAACATGAATGCCCGTTAGCGCCTCTTGCGGGTGTTGTTATGCGTTTATCTTGTTCATCTTTAGCCAAATCCCTAGGACAAGAAGCATCTAGAGGTCGGCTCGATTGTTTTGTGTATATCATCGGTCTGGGCTTGGACGGTTTGCCTCTGGTTTACGAGGCAGAATGGCGTAATTCAATAACATGTGTTTGCTTGATCTCTTAGCCCGTGCCATTGCTTTATGCTTTGGCAGGAAGGAACTAAATGTAGAGCAACTCTACTGTATCAGGCTCCCCCCCCCCCCCACAAAAGATCATCGACAGCGTAGCTCATAATATTGTCTATTTTTTATTGGGTTCATGGTATCATGTCGCTTATGTGGTTCCCACGCGGGGGGAGTCAACGGATCTCGTTGTACCGTCAAAGTGACTAAGGTCTTTCAAGTTTCTACCTTGGAACCTTGGTAACATAGATTGATGGATCTTTGTCAATTTTTCGGTTGTTCAAAGTCCAAGGTCGAAGTCTGAAAGGACCAATGCCACTTGTTGGACCGATCGATATAAAACAAATTTGGGCGCTAGAGTCCTCGAAGATTCTGGTCCAGCTAAATCGATTTTTTTCTTGGAATTTCATTATTACTGGTCATTGAGTCATATGCAATATGCAACTTGAAAGATGCATTCAAGAGCCCCTCAAAGCAATTGCGCCTACCAGTGACATCTCAAGTTGGCGCTTGGCATTGGAGTTCTGGGTGCCGCTGGTCTTGTCGCCTGGTGATGGTAGAGCGCCAAGCTTGAACATTTTCTTGATCCTAGTGACATCTGAAATCTCGGATAATGTTTGGTCATCAAAGGTGACGGGAGTTCCTTGAACTGAAGCTTCCAGATGCGCGGCAACGGAGTCACGAGTTATCTCCGGAGATACAGAGACTTTAACGGCCAGTAAGTCCTTAGTGGAGTCGGCAACACCAAACTTCCGAAATGAATCGGCAATCTATGGAAATGAGTCAATTGCTTTCAAAAAATGGAAATTTCATGGTAGAACAAACATTGTTCGCCGGATTCAAGGAGAACACAATTTCCGAGTGCACATTGTGGGACTTGAGTCGATCATTTTTGTAGTCATTGATAGCTCTAAAGATAGCTGCGGTGGCATGTGCTCTCGAGAAGACCTAGTATTCTGAATGAGCGGTCCGTTTCTCATCATATTACAATTTATGAAGCTTCTTAGCGCACCATGCTTGCATCAATAAAGGCATATTCGAATTCCTTGTTGCCAGAAAGCAACTGCTGTCTCAGGAGGGCGGCATTCTGGACGTCACGATACAGTGCCACGTACACCGAGAGTGATTCGGGCAGATGAGGTATATCAAGGGTTTCCAGATACGACGCCATATTCAAAAAGAGCGTTTGCGACGATCCAGCATGACGTATCTGTATCCTCTTCAAAACTGGCGGCGCTGATATCCCACCTGATCACGTGCCTCATCAGTTCTGGAAGATTCGGACTTAAGAGGTGCCGGCATCCGCGGTGAGTAATCCGCATCGCATTACTGATGCACTCGGTCGGTCCCATATAAACCGCTCCCCTCTCTCCACCCTCAACGACATCATCGTCATCATGGCATTCTTCCTTCGGCGCCCGTTCGCCGTATCATCGGCACTTCACCAAGTTCCGAAGCTCTCAAATACCGCTCGTTTCATCCACAACTCTCCCTTCAAGCCCGCCCAGGCAACTAAGCCTTTCGGAGCTCAGTCCTCGATCTTCACCAAGTCTCGTCAAACCTTCCAAAATGCCTTCCGCCGGACATATATGCAGCCTACCTACAACGCCCAGTCTGGAAACCTCTCTCAAAAGCTGATCTATGGTGCCGCCATCGTTGGAGGTACCGTCCTGGCAACCAACTTCATCTTCAACCGTGAGACCCGCGAGGATGGCGGCATGCCCGCTTACGAGCGAAGCTTCCTGAATGAGACTTTCATGCACACTGGTCTTGGTATCGGTATTATTGGTATTGCTGCCCGCGCACTGCACATGAGCGGCTGGTCCTATCGTCTCATGGCCATGAACCCGTGGCTCGTGATGGGTGTCGGACTGGTCGGCAGCATTGGCTCGATGTACGGAACTTTCTACACCTCCCCGGATAAGTAAGTATCAATATTTTCCCTGTTTGCAAGCTTCGAGATCGTGTTACTAACTGCCGCATCAGCTACGTTGTTAAATACGGCTGCTGGACTCTGTTCAACCTGACCCAGGCTGCTCTCCTGTCCCCGTTGATGTTCATGCACCCCGCCATTCTCGCTCGCGCTGGTCTCTACACTGTCGGCATGATGGGCTCGATCGCCTTCGTCGGTGCCACCGCCAAGCAAGAGAAGTACCTGTACCTCGGTGGACCTCTCCTCGCTGGTGTCGTTCTTGTCGCTCTCTCCGGTCTTGCCCCCATGGTTCTCCCCGCCACCGCCGCTCGCACTCTGATGTGGTCTGAGCGTGTCTGGCTGTACGGTGGTCTTGCCGTCTTCGGCGGTTTCACCCTCTATGATGTTCAGAAGATCCTGCACCACGCCCGTCTAGCCGAGCGTGGCTACATGAAGCGCGACGTCGTCAACGAGAGTGTCAGCCTCGAGCTTGACTTCATCAACATCTTTGTCCGCATGGTGCAGATTCTTGCCTTGCGGAACAACAACCGCAAATAAGCTTTCGATATGAGGCGTTAGCTGCAACAGCGCCCTTCGGTTTCTTTCCTTTTCCCCCTTACATAACCCCTGTACTTTAACGATTTCTTACTACTTTTACCCTACTTTTTTTTTCTTGAAAAGGGTACATAAACATCTAGTTTTAACAACCATTTGGGGAATGCACATCTCCGCTCTTTCACATTTGCTCAAAGTAGACCGTTCAACGACCATCTAATCAGCTTCTTTGGACATTTTCATTCGTCAAAGTAAAATCTAACTCTCGGAATGTTTCCTTTTAGCTCGAGAGCCTACTCGGAAACCATTGGTCCGGCCCAATTCTTGTACCGAATCGCTCAATCTTTAACACCAGTTCGGTTCCTGTACTGTTCTGCAAGAACAATTAATCGCCATTGATATCTCGTATTCCCGGCGCCTATTCTTCTTTCCTGCTCGTGTGTTTCCATATTTTCTTCTTTCCTTGTTCTTGTCCCTGTTTTCCAAGGGCACAATCGATTCACTTTTGTAAATTTTGGCAAATGTGTCTCCAGTCGAAGCCAGCAACATCAAGAAGACTCTTATTAATCACCATCCTGTACCAAGTCTTCGGTGTAATCTTGCGATATGTGAGGAGGACGAGAGCAATTGTTTTCCAGCCATGATGACAATCCTTCGGGACGCGTAAGTAAAGAATACAATTCTCGCTGCCGTGGTCAAGGATAGCTTTGCAGAGCGGGCTGTCGATGATATGGTAGATAAAGTCGTGACTTTGTTGGCAGTGTCTGATTTTCTTAGCCAACTCAGCTTTGATGGCTGGTTCTGGTCTGAAGGATAGGAGAAGTGAATTGTCATTCAATCCTTCCAGGTTGAGGAAGCTGCTGTTGGACTGGTTGAGGAAAATTGCTTCTTTGTGTCGTGTCTCTCGCCCGGCTTCTTGGTTGCGAAGCTTTTCCAGGAGACGGAAGTTGCCCTTGAAAATGTCAAAGGTCGCCTCTAGCTCATAGTCATTGCCGTGAAGTCGATGTACCTCGCCCGATTCTTCATCGTGCGAGACTAGTTCGACTGATTGGAGGTTGGGATCCATTGGTTTAGACAGTCGAGGTGAAATATGAGAGTGGATGGATCATGGATGTGGAGACGTGTCTGGGAGGAGGGTGACCTGGGAGAAGAGTGAATCTTGAAGTGTTGAAGTTTCCCTAGGTTGCAATGTGGCTGACCTCGCGCAGACAACTCGACCTTTCTTTCCATCTAGGGTCGTCTTGCACCTGCCACCCAGGCACATGCGATGAGAAAGCTCAAGGTCAACACAGATTCGGAATGGTAAATTGTGATTCTAGTATTATTAAGTTAATGAAATTGTACCTTCAAGTTGTCAGTAAGCTACTTTTGGCTTATCATTCGCCCCGTAGGTCATACAAATTTCATACTCTATTTGATACTTAAGAGTTCATTTTTCGAATATTCTCCATTCATCTAATCCTTCAGCTAGTATACCTAAGTAATATGTGCAAATCTCTTGAGTATGGTTAACTCATGTACAATTCTAGTCTAGTAAACCATAGAAAGTACCAACCAATAGCTCGTGAATTAACAATTTTCTAGTTCTGATATTAACCACTAGCAGCTCACCGCGCTAACCGAAACGGGCAGAGTGAGAGCCCAGAGCTTTTCCCCATTCCGCGCCGCGTTCGAACTTCAATGTCAGACCGCAGCCCTTCCGCCCTCCATTGAACCACATATCTCAATTCATTCTCAGATCGCATCAAACCTCCGAACCTTGTCACCACATCTCCACAATGTCGAATGAAATGGAAGTTGATCCTCCCGTCGCCCACGACGATGCCCCCGCACAGTCTGAAGGCTTCGAGCCACAAACCCAATCAGGCGCAGTCGCCGTGCGCAGTATCGAGGGATGGATTGTGATCGTGTCGAACATTCACGAGGAAGCTTCCGAGGAGGATATCACCGATCTCTTTGCAGAGCACGGCGAGATCAAGAACTTCAGTTTGAACCTGGATCGACGAACAGGTTATGTCAAGGTAGGTCGCAAACTGCGATCTTTTGCGCCCATACGTTACAGCAGGCGCTTCCGATTGCTCTCTTGCAACTTTTTGCGCTGCTGATATTTAAAGAAGGGTGTTTGCTAACACGATCCGTGCTAGGGATACGCCTTGATTGAATACGCAACCCTCCCCGAAGCCGGCGAGGCTATTAAGGCCCTCAACGGCGCCAAGCTGCTCGATCAGACCCTTTCAGTTGACTACGCTTTCGTCCGTCCGCCGCCAGCTAGCAAGAACAAGGGAGGACAGAAGGGAGGCCGTGGTGCTGGTGGTGCTGGTGGTGCTGGTGGTGCTGGTGGTGCTGGTGGTCGGGGTCGAAGCCGCAGCCGCAGCCCTGGCCGCAGTCGTAGCCCGGATGCCGACCGGAGCTAAATTTCTGGACTGATACGACCGATAAAATGTTCACAGGGATGCATATTATAACCCCCTTTTTTGCTTGATACCTGGGTACTTTGTTTTCATCCTCTGCGCCGCAGCGCTTTTTCCCTCGACCTCTTCATCTCATGCCCAACGACACTCTGCTGGACGACGCAATGGGAGTACCCTTCCTTTAAGCCGGCTCCTGCTTCCTCTATGGCTGCTCCTATTCTCTTGAGAACTTACGGAGTAAAGCCTGGGGGGATATGCGGGCCGGCATCCTGATACATTGTTCCTCTGGTAGGATTCCACGTTACATACATAATCTATCACGCCCAGATGCTGATCTAGCTTCAGAATAAAAGAACGTCAATGAAATTTGGAACGTGGTTTTCGAAGACCACTTGGCATGGAAATGTCTTTTAGCATAATGAAATTTGAAGGTTGCCTTGCCTCATTATGGGCCCCCAAGCCGTGTCCAAAATATCGGGGGTTTCGGGCCACTATATCGTAGATATCTGTAAACGTACCTTTACCACTGCATTTGACACTTTAATATTCTTGCATATGAGAAATTCTAGAGCCTACCTATTGTCAATTGATTGGCCTGGGGGTTTACGACGAAGACAGGAGTTTCGAGATGAATTGCTGGAGCCATGGTTCCGAATTGAGAGACAGGGATACTGTAATGTATGGATGCTTGTGTATTAATGAGCATAGTATCATTGAAAACGTAGTCTCGCATTCCATCTGCATGATCCCATGCTGGTGATTGTTCCATTCTTTCCATTCTATGTACAATGTCTATGCTAGTTAGTTAGTAAACCTTCTCCCCACACCAAATAGCATTGACCTGATCTAATCCCTTCGAGTCTACATCACACGACATCAGATGTGGCGCACGATATGTCTCCGAGTGGCTACCTGCGGTACGCCAGGGCTCTTACCACACTGATCTCGTGCCCTGAAGCTTGAAATGGACCAACCAGTGAAAGTGGCTGAACAGGACTTACTTCTCCAAGGGCGAGTGGGCCAATGACTAAGCTGCGGACCCCAACTCTGGGAAGGCTCCCCCGCATTCGAGGCTGAGCAACCACCCAGACCCTTTCATTCTTGCCATTGATTGCATTTGAGTGGGAAGCAGTTGGTGTGCTTCTATTCTTATGAAGGAGACTGGTGCTCTGCTATCCGGATAGTTGATCCTCGGGAAGGATGGCTTCTCGTTCCTTATTCCAGTCCCCTTCTGGGTCCTCCTACTCTCTATATACGATCCTGTGGATATTCTTCCTTTCTCTTTCAGCCGTGGCCAATGCGCTGGCGTATCCGCCCCAGAAGCCGCTCGCAGAGACACGGCCAGTCGACGAGAACCTATTGAACTCCCTCGATGATCTCTCAGATGATGCCAGTCCCAGGGACAGCAATGCGACTCCCGTCGAGACGCTGCAAGACCTTCTCAGCGCGCTACGTGGTATGCAAGACCACTACTTCGTGATGTGGATGGGAACTTGGCCGAGCAGCATTGACTGGACCGCTGCGGTGTTGGGAACCCACGTTGTCGCCACTTTGTCGTCTTATACCTCCTCCAAGCTCGATCTTGTCGACCCCACAGAGTCGCACCAATCAGTCGCGCTTGCAGTCGAGAACACTGTCAATCAATTCTTCACCCAAATGAATACCTTTTATTTTGGAGAGAATGCTTTCAGTCTGAGAAACCAGGCTTACGACGATATGCTTTGGGTCGTACTAGACTGGCTGGAAAATGTCAAGTTCCAGGACCTGCACACGGATCTTCACTTTCCTCGTCCGACCCAACTTCAGAGGATTCATGGTATGGGACTCAGTTTCGGCAACCAGCTGCACATCGAGCACGAATCTTCTACGAGCTGGCCTCGGCCGGGTGGGACAAGACTCTTTGCGGTGGGGGGATGATTTGGAACCCGGTTTTGATCCCCTATAAAAACGCCATTACGAACGAGCTTTATATATCGGCAAGCATTGCCATGTACCTATACTTCCCAGGGGACCCCATTGACTCTCCGTTCATTACCAACGCGCAAGCCAATGGAACCTATCCACACAACCCTGCCCACCTCAAGGCAGCAGTCGATGCTTATGCGTGGCTCAAGAACTCCAACATGACTGGTGCCGGTGGGCTATATGCAGACGGGTACCACATCAGCGGCTGGCGAAGTGCCTCTGACCCAGGAACGGGAAAGTGTGACGAGCTCAACAAAATGGTATATACCTACAACCAAGGAGTCGTTCTCAGCGGGCTGAGAGGACTCTGGATCGGAACAGGTGACCAGAGCTACCTTCGCGACGGCCATGAGCTTATCCACAAGGTTCTCCGTGCTACAGGTTGGCCGCAAACATCTTCAAAGAAATGGGCTGGTCTTGGACGTGGCGGTGTGCTGGAAGAAGCGTGCGACTCATATTCCAGCTGCTCCCAAAACGGACAGACCTTCAAGGGCATTTTCTTCCACCACCTGGCTGAGTTCTGTCGGCCACTCCGCCCACAAGAAGAGCGCTTCCTAGTGGCTGAGAAACGCCAGCCAATTGCGGACGAGAGCTGGGAGAATGTCTACACCCGTCATCTCAAACGTTGCCGTACCTATGGGCCCTGGATCGAACACAATGCTCGCGCTGCACTGATCACTCGCGATGACGATGGGAAATTTGGTACTTGGTGGGGAATTGAATTCCAGCAGCCACCCTCCGTTGCCTCTGCGGAGACTGTAAATAGTAGTACTTTGCCGGCTGGGGCTGTGGACTACCGCAATGTCGAGTTTGAGACTGATGCCTCTACATTTGACGGCGTGCCACGGGACTTCAATGATCGTGGACGGGGTCGCACAGTTGAGACACAGTCTGGTGGAATTGCAGTGCTGAGGGCTCTGTATCAGTGGCAGACCTCTGATTTCCTTTCATGAACCGCAACGGTATCATTCTCGGGCAGGTGTTTGGGAATCGGGAATTATTTTTATCATTATCATCATTGGTTTTTGGAGTTAGGCTGTAAAATTCATTACCGTCCTTCGGATATTATCTTTCTACAATTGACTACCTACATAGGTATATATACTCTGGTCCCTTGCCGAGGTAAAGCCTGATTGATGGGGGTGGGGGGCTAGGATGTATTCTACTACATCATGTGTTAGCCTTAATCCATCATTTTCGATCGAAAGACGTCAATCTCGACAGAAATGCATGAGATCGGGAAACGTTGAAATCATACTAGGCATTCAATATCTGGTCTCTAATGTCGGGGATGATGATAGAGGGCTTTATTTCCTACAGAACTTGAAGGACACGACCAGAGTCCACAAGCTAGTTATAGCTACGTACGAGTAGTCTTGACAGTTATTCTGGAGCCGATTAGCAGTCTACTTGTAGACGTCGGTGTTTATGTAGATGTCCCTGATGGTACCTACCTAGGTACCTTACCATGGAACCCTGACCATCAACAAACCATACCTGAATATCATACAAAATCGACCAATGCTTGAACAATTGACCCTCCCCTTTCCCATCCGCCCGTGCACGGGACAAGACCTCGGCTATAACCCACCTAGTCCGCGATAGTTCTCCAGATCGTCTTGCGGAGCCAATCGCTCCACAAAGAGAGACAACCAGCGCGAAACAAGAAATGAATGGATCTGAAAACCGGATTGCAAGATCGATAGATCGACACAGGTGGATCGATACTGATCCGCAGGTGTTCGGGGTTATCCAAGAGAAGTTGGTATGACGCCGAGCGAGGAGCCTCTTGATCAGGACTGGGAGATGATGACTGCAGCCCCGTTGTACTTGAGTTGGGTGCTTCTACATGCATAATCTGTTAGTTGTCACACTGACTAGCTAACTGGTCGGCCAAGTGAGATCAAGGGATACAGTAGACTCCAGGAACTGTCAGATTGGCGTGCTTTCCTTTTTTGGAGACTGCTACTAATACTAGTAGGTGGGCGAGGAGGGATAGGATGCCTGGGGCTAGCATGGGATGCAGGGTGTACTCCGTACAGTACTGCTACTCGTATACTCGTAGGCAATCTATCAAGGTTTGGGTTGGCTGTGTATGTACATAAGTGCATACTATTCATGCTTTTTATGTGTATCAAGCACCCTTTGGTAATTTTGTGTCTTATCCTAAGCAGGCTCCCACAGCTCTTTGACAATACGGCTGAAAAAAAAACAAGCAAAATAACCAGGCAAGTTCCACGACAACATGATCACGGCCTCTGGTGCTGGGCAGCATGTCTAGGTGCTTTGGATGGTGGGGGGACCTGCAGCTGTGACCGCTGTGACCTCCCACCTTGGAAGAGACTAAGAGACTAAGATGCTTTTGACAAGCACGACATGCTCCACTTCCAAGCTGTGCGGCCTAAGAAAAACTCCGGCAACTCGAACCGATTCTTGTATATTATTCCGTACAAGACACATAGTCTCGGACATGGTGCTGTGGTTGTGGCGAGGATACTCCGAGATAGAAGTTTCTGTTCTCTAGCACCCGCCCTAAGGGACGTCCCACCAAGGCCAAAGCTGAGAGGAAACTTTACTATCGATACCCTCCAAATCTGAGCCCTATGATTGGTTCTATAATCTGGAAATATCCCGCGGCAGTGAGCAAGAAAAAAAGCGACTAATCGAACACAGCGGACGAAACCCACTCACACTAACCCAAAGCTCGCGCGCCATCCGCAGCTTAGCGTTGGAAACTTCCTGTTAGCTTGCCCCCTCTCTGCCCCTCCTTGTAAGATGAAACATGTTCGTACGGGGGAAAGGCCTATGAATGGGACGGTGGAGGGGTTAGGTAAATCAGTGTAAAAGGCGTGTAGATCAGCGTCCCCTCATTGAGTTATTGAGGGCACTATCTCAAGAAAAGAAGAATTAATTAAATGAAGGAAAAAAAGAAGGAAAAAAGAACATCCCGAGGGTCCGCCTCTGCCGAATTACGTGGCGTGTCCCAATAGAATAACGGCCGCGAGGCAATCGCCTCATTGTGTCTCACTTGCCCGGATCTCACCACCTCGAGGCTCTCCTCCATTCTACGGCGGAGATGCACACTTCTGTATACTATCCGGTGGCTATATTTCGTGAGCTAAACGTACAGCTCGCGTCGGTGGACCGGTGCAGTCACACGGCCAAGGTCTGAGCGTCCCATCTGACTCTGCGGGGATCCAGGAACGAATACCACTGGTTCTACGCCTTCTGCGCAGTGGAGGGTCGAGGACTGTACATGCGGCGGTGGTGTACCTGCCATACTGCGCGATGGCTCCAAGTCGAAGCAAGGTCTTCACCGGTGGAGGTTGGGAATTATCCGATCGGTCACATTGGGAACCCACCAGCTCGGCCCAGCACTACTAGTCGCAGATTACATCCAGAGATGGGCTGAAGACTCGAAGGGGTCGGGTTTCAGCACCATCTCAGTTGCCGTCATTCAGGGATGCTCCATGCACTGTGCTGGCGTTTCAACGTGCAGCGGAATGCGATCCCCGGAAAACTCGTGCGCAAGTGATGGAGTGGCGTCGGCAGTTCTGATTCGAAAGTCTTCTCCGACAAGCCACAGCCGGGACGTGGAACCCATGGGTGACAATGTCGGGTCCGGGTACCTGGGAGGGTGTCCCAGGATTGACTTGATGCCCAACTGGCGAGCGTAGCGCAACACAGTGCAGCAGGACTAGTAGCAGTTGCACTACAGAGTGCTTTGTATGTACGTATGTCCATGCTGACACCACTATTGATTCCTATCACAACCACTATCGCAGCATAATAAGCTATTGATGAGTTTCTGTGCCGCTTGTGGGCACGATTACCTCAAGCGAGGCTATACAGCCACAACAGATCCTTCAGCCGTTGCATTCCTGAGAGATCGACATGATGATGGCTCTACCTGGTTTCACCTCCTTTTAGTAGGGTTCCCATCCGTCAAATAGCAGTCAAACTGTCGAATCCACGGGAATGGATCGTCTGTCCAAGCGGTCAATGACTTCGGATTGGTTCAAATGACGGGTTGAGGTCCCCGGTACGGAGCAGTGTGGGTAATAAAGCTCACGACTGCGAGAACAAAGGGAGTGAGCTGGTACGAGTATTGCATCATGATATAGATATAGTACCTATGTAGGTATGTATATACTACTCTATACTATCACAACCCCAAGTATGTATTCGTAGGCAACTTTATAGGAACCTCCTTCGCTTCGGGTTCTACTATTTAGTGTCTACTTGCACCGAGGGAATGTGATTCGGAAATGAAGTCCATGGCTCCACGGGGCGGGCGTAGGGATCGTCCTTCTAAAGATTTGGATCCAACAAAATTCGATTTACTGCTCCGTTTTCTGCATGGGAGATTAGAGGGTTCCTCTTTCTCGAGATTTTGTATCCCGCGGAGGCGTCCGAACCCAGAAAACCAACACAGTCAACTCATCCACCGCGGGTGCCGTGCTTATCCCTTGCCCTTGTTTGCCACACCAGGTCATGGGCGAATGGAGGTGGTCCCCAAGGGGGACTATCAAGACCCGTGTCAATGATCGGAGCCAGTGATATGGCGTCATGTCCACCAGTTGCGGCTCGATCGACATTGCATGGCGCCCCCCCTCCCCTGAGAGGCGGAGGACGAGGCGCTTTCCCCATACCGCCATGAAGAAGCGCCAATAAAGATGCGGTCAAAAATACATGTGACCAGCTTTAGGGTAAGTATCGAGGCGATCCATAGAGGTAAACTGAGTATTGAGTCTGGAGATGTACTGTATGTACATGTAGGGTCTAGTTACCTATGTGGACAAAGTAAAGTGTGCGCCAGGAGGTATACAATAATAAAAGCGATGAGGTCATCTGCTCATGGGGAAGACGATAAATTAGGATTTCCTCTCCCGCCATTAGGATGAGGATGAATAAAAGGACCCCCGAAAAATATTGTGATCCTTCTCAAAAAAAAAGGGATTTAAATTAATACGTGTTCTTCAAAGTTTGGTACAAACTCCCACCGAAATTCTGCCCTGGAGATGGAGGACTCCTGTTGGTTAGGAGAGGCTCCTGTTTGGTGGAGGCGAGTGGATCCGGACCTCCGCTCCTATGGGCCAGTGAAGATTGGCGATGGCCCTAAATCAGGACTAAACCGGGTCTAGGGAGAAGTTCCGGTGGTGGTGAGAGTACCCAGTACCCAGTACTCCGTACTTTGTTCGGTTCCTCGACGGTGGGGGGAAGCGGTGTATCGGATACTTGGAGAGGAAAGGGGGGGGGGGGGGGTAAAGGGTTCCCACCACCTCTTCCAGTTTCTGCAGTCTACTCGTACAGTGTACATAGTACTCCGAGTTCGTTCCCTGTTGCCATTTTTTATGGTTTCATGGTTTTCGATTGTTCCTGTCTTTCACTGCTTACACATAGGTATATATGATATGCATAGTTATCATGTAATATATCTGGTTCTAATATACTCGCTCAGGTAGTCAAAAAATACAAAGTACAGTAACAGACTCGGTCAGGTACCTTTATACGGCTAAAGGGGTTCAGTACTCCGTCACTGGGTACTCGTTATGTGGCTGCCACGCGCCTACGGTTTCTTTTCGGACGATCCCTCTGGTCCCAAGGGACGCCCTGCTCCACCGGCCGAAAAGGTACAAAGATAGTCCTAGTTCGGTATGAGGAAGGTACGGTGTATTGCGGGTACCGAAGGGCACTAGTAGGTACTTGTGGCTACCAGTGAGTACTGTGGTATTTAGCAGTACAAATATGTATCGATAGGTATTCAATCGTAACTCATGGTATCTCACGGGTCCCTATCCTTCCCTGCTACTGTCCCGAGTGTACCGACTTGTACCAACAATACCAGCAGTACCATCCATACTGGGAATTGTACCACCACCCAAAACCCACCACTGGCCGTAACGCCGATACCCTCCTTCCTCCCTTTGAACTCATCTGGGAGCTTCTTTCCTTTCCCAACGCCCTCGACCGATTTCCAACTTTTCCTCTCGCGCCCTTTCGACCTTTCGATCTCTTCGTCGACGTCTCCCTTCTCCCTCTCACACCCCCCCATCTCGATCTCGACCTGTCCTCCCTAACAATTTTCGACCGTTGTCCCTTTTACCCGCAACTCCTCCGATTCTTCACCCGTTATCACTCTTTCTTCAACTCCCCCACCGACCCCGGTAGCTACCTCAAGCGTAACACAGATTTTTCGTCTGGGGTACATCGCTAGGGGTAGACCGTGGTCGTTCACCGTTCGTTCCGACCTACGATTCTAAAATCAAAAATCCCGAACGCCGAAAGCAGCTTGCTGCACATTTGTCCCAAAAAAAATCCACTTCTCTCATCCTAAATCGCCACGCTGGACCTCGCAAATTTCTCCCTGTTCGACTGCGTCTGCTGTGAAAAACCTCCCCTATGTCTGATACGGAGATGAATGAAGCCTCACCTGTGCCCACCTTGCCGCAACCAAACGACGGTGGCCGCATGCATATGTCATCCCTGTCATCTTCTTCGTCTATATCCGACGCCGAGACTGAACGTCGGGGTCGATCTGAACGTCCAAGAATGGCGAGCCGCAAACCCAGCGCATCCTAGTCCCTCGGGACCACCCTGAAATCGAGATTGAGGAGGAGGAATTCCCTCCCGACGACGCCCGTGCCATGAGTCCCCGCCGAAATTCCGCTGATTTGGAACGATTGGGTAAAGAAGCCCGCCAGACCCTTCAAGAGTGAGTCTTCTTCTTTTCTCGATACTTGTCGAGAAATCTTTCATTCTCCCTTTCCTTTCTGCCCTTTGGGCTTCCGAAAGGAGAGGCGTCTCCAAAGCCCCCACTAACATGCAATGAAAATCTTTAGGCAAGCCAAGGCCCTCCAATCATCCCTTCAAGCCATCGCAGAGCGCATTGATGTGGTCAAATCAGACCACGACAAGCTGGAGAATGAGAACAAAATCCTGCAAGATTACATAGGTGGCCTCACACGCAACATGACCAAGACCGAAATGAGCCGCAGTACGAAAGCACGCAAGGCGCAGAAGTAACTACATGGCCGATGGAACCAGAAGCGTCGTAGGACGGTGGGAGGTGTTCCACCGTACCTGTGACTCAGGATGGAAATCTAAGGTTTCCACACGAAGCTTTCTGAGAGCCGCCTCCTTATCGCGATTCATACCGATTCTCGATTCCCTTCAACCCTTTAACGACCACATACTTCATCACACACTTTTTTTTTCTCACACGAGGACCCGATCACCCCTTTCCAGTGTCGAATTACGAGAATGCATATCACACGCCTTGGTTGACACCGTTGCCTACAAAATGACGTGTTATGACCCCTTTGGAACGTTGACAGGCCTCTTCCATTTACGAGACCAGATATTGTTTCACGGGGGAATATACAGCCGTTTGTTGTCACATTGTCGCCAAACCTCGTTCCCCCCTGATTCTCTGGCCACCCGGCTTACTTCGAGTGGCTACCCAGACACCCTCTTTTCTCTCTCAGTCCACGCCACAACTCGTCACAGGGCTCCACCGCTCATTCAGCACCGGGATCAACCGTTGAACCAGTGATGGTCATGACCACGCAGCGCTTATTTACTCAAGGGACCAATGGATGCTCAGTGACATCATCGGATATTTGATCCTCGCCCAGTGGTCCGCCACTTGGGTCTTGGCATCCTCGAACCACTCATGATCATCCACCCTCAGCCACTCACAAGTGTCACACCATGCTGTGTCATGGCCAGCGGGACTGACCGACCTCTCATCATTGTCGATATCATCGGGCGTCTTCATTTGCTCTTTCTTTACACGTCTCCTCATTTGGCGTTTTTTTTTTCATCATATGTTTTTTCTACTCGGCGGCTCTTTGCGGACTCATCTTTACCACTGTATTTTTTTATCGGATGCATAGCACCTCGGGCGTTTCGGGGACTGGGACCTAGACTCGATTTGATTGAATGACTTTACCGGAGCCGCAACTTGAAATGTTTTCGTCGTCATAAGGCATTGCATATGGTCATGGTCATGTCAACCGCAGGACGGCGCGGAAAGTGGAAAGCATCTAGGGGGTCATTTATGGAGCAGTCCATTGTTCATTTATTTCTTTCCATTCTTCTCTCTTCATTTCTATTATCTTCCTTTTTTAACACCTGGGACGATGGAAGATGGCAACTTCTGTTCATCTGCCCTTTTTCTCTTCACTTCTTTTCTTTTCGACTGTGGACTGGCTTCTCGCGAAAATGAACCCCCATTTTTCAACTTACGGGAGATCTCCATTTTTCTCGCCGCATCTTACTATTTCTTCTTCTCTATCACAGCTTTGTTCTGCTTACTTGCTTCCCCACTGGCCTTTGTCATACCCTGGGTCTCCTGTGCATGTCTCAAGTCCCCCATCCTTATCTCTACTTTTTCTATTATTTCCCTTGCTTGCATGGTGGGAAGAATGATAGTTCAGTCATGGCAATTGAAATATTCCAATCAATTTTCGCACTATAGAAGTAAAGACGTACAACTAGGTGTATTCAAAACAGTATTCTAATCTTTAGCTCGAGTCATGACGTCCAAAGTGGCTGTGGAGAGACATGAAGATCTGAGACATTCCCCATCTGATCTACGAAAACGACGTATTCTGTGGGGCTCTTGAAACAGTGCAGCTGAAGGAATCATGCAGAGCCGGCATACCCGAGAGTAAATCATTATCTAGCTGGGAGCAGCACTCAACCATAGCCATCTAGTATCCAGCGACCTGGTACGTTATACTAGCGTGGATTGGGATTTCTTCCCCCTCCCAGTGACGCAAGGCTCTTTCGTCAGATTTGAGCTGCGGATTTCGGGAGTGGGGGCATTTTCTATATTTGGATTATCTACAACACAAAAACTCCCGGTTTAGCTACACGAGAGTCATAATCCTAAGACCGGAGACCGGTAGACTCTCGGATCTTGCCAAAATAAGCAATTCGCAGGAATGACAGACCTCTCTAAACGAGACGATGAGCTCACATGAACTTGAACGCCTTGCTTATCTATTTTAAACAGAACGGTCGATATCAAAATATACGTCTCGGTAAGCTTATCCTTCGAGGACTGTGCCGGCTAAATATTGGCGAGGAAAGACAATGCTGCTTTTATTGGATTGCCTCATTTTTTCACGATACGACCCGGAGCTTCCGGTTCCTCATCACGGGGGGTTAGTGTTAGCCCCTTCACGTGGCCTACGGGGTTTTCTGGGAAGTAGCAAGTTTGACATTATTACTAGAGTAAATGGTGATGACAGAACGTAACACAAAGTCTTAATCAGAGTGCGGAAATGGAAGGATTGAAGACTCGAAACCTACGTCCAAGCGGCTTTGTCGGGAATGGTATACAACAGCTTTATAACAGCTTGTGATTTCTTCAAGCAGCATGGAAGTAAGACACAGTAGTAGTAGTAGTAGTAGTAGTTTGATTTAGTAGTTATCGATACAGGGAAAGCAACGTGGTATGGGTACTACTACGTTAGGAGTTAGGGTCCTGTGAGAGCTATCAATTTATTAGACAATGGCACCAGTTTCCTTGGTACAGTTTCATATTGTACTCAAGCACTAACACCTTCAAGGCCAAGATGATGTCTAGTATGCCATTTTCAATGTATTAGAATCTAACACATGTTTCATCCTTGGATGGATTTGCTCCTTGGTTTTTCGCGTATCTGTCGGAGTCCTCTACTGTCGAGACATATTTAGCATTGTTTGCTCGATAGACCCACTGAAGAGTGACTATCACGCTGGGTGACTATTGCTATGCATGCGATAATTCCCCATCAATTCTCGGTTGCCCGGCCCTATCCCCTCCTCGGTAGCTTCGATACCTCGCATCAAAGGAGTTTCTCTTCCGACTGTAGCAAAATAATACCCTATATTCCGTCTAAAAAGGAGAGAATATGGACAGGCCGAGATATCTCGTAAGAGTTTTTTAAATCACGCATTCGTAAGCAATGAATTGAACTCAAGCTGACCCTGGAGCAAAGTACTTGATGCAAGCACCTGAATTCTTGGATCCTGATAGCATACTATTGGCTATCCTTGAAGGTATGATGTCGATGATAATAATCTAGGAGAGTCTCACAGGTTCATATGTTACGAACCGCCTTTTGAGGTGTAGAATGGACTCAATGACAATTTTTTCAGACTTGGGGAATGCCTAGAAGTCAACCCTTTTTTCAAAGATGATTATATGATACTTACGATTCTCCACCTTTGTAAAGGAAGCCCTTATTAGTCTATAACGTTGGTAGTGCTGTTTCTATTTATTTTTCGGGGATCTTTGATAAGAAAAACAATCTGACGGTTTTGGTGATCTGGAGAGGACCAGAAAGATGCGATGGATCCATGTTAAATGACTGCGCAACAAGACCTTTACATTTAGTATAGCAGGTACTGGTACCCTTGCCTCGTCGTTTTCTCTCTATTCTCTAGATCTGTTATCTTCACGATATACTGCCAAGGTGTTACCTGTGCCGCTGCTAATCCCTTGGTTACAATTAGAAGCTCAACACAGTAAAAAGCTCAATGAAATAATCCCTGTGGCTTGATTGCCTCCAGTTATACCCGACACTTGGAAGTCATGATTGCCACGTTATTTTGACGTTAAGGAAATCTCGAAAGTGTAGTATGCCCCTGGGCGATGGCCTGTCTGGATAGAGCACCAGTCAGATTCATGAATGCATCATATGAATAGATAAGCCTCATTGGTTATTCTCCTACTAATCTGCAGTAATTTCTCGGGGGGTGGTATGGGAGTTTCTTAGAGTATGAGAAAACAGGAAATAGACAAGTGGTGGCGTGTTTTTATTCACTCGGTAAATGCACATGACCAGACTTGAACGACAATAATAAAATACTAGTAGTTATCTAGTATTATTATGGTAGGATTACATCTCCAAGTGTTCCAGAACAATGAGTGCACCCCCATGGCACATGGTTCTGATGCTATCATCATTGATGGTATAGAAGCGGCGTGAAGGACAAATTCAATTGACAGGTTCTGTCTAGGAAGGAATACATGTCCATCATATGGGACATGCTCTGTCATTTGTACCCTTTTGCAAGGCCGAATCCACCATAATCCTTAGGTCCCCGGTGGCGGCTTGGTAGGGGCCGGCTGCGCGGGGGGGATTTCCTCTGCCACCTCCGCTTTGAGTTGCTCCAGCCGAACCCGCCATCGTTGTTGAAGCAAAATCAATCTGGATGAGTTTTAACATGAGCTCACGTTATAGGATACTTGCCCTAGACGACGCTCTCTCTGATAGTAGGCCAATCGATTAGATCGACCTCGGGATAAGTGTGAAGTTGACCAAATATATTCACCAAACTAGAAGACAGACACGTTGCTGGAAGGCAGTGCCTCGTACGTATAGTACTCGCTGTCTAAATAGAGATTGTGTCAGGTTAGAACCCATTCAAGTTTCATCTGGAGATGAGGGTAAGCAGAAGCATCAAGAAATCTCCGTACACGTGAATTCCAGGAAGACAGTCGATCTCGTTTAACAGGGGAAAAACGAGCTATCTTGAAAATTGAGACGAGAACCTGTTCGGCCCTGGAGGACATACACGATATTTTTATACCTTGATGATCGGCATTAGATTGTCATTTTAGGAGAAAATTCCAGTGGGCTTGTATGGTCATCTGTTCAACTACGAGTATCATTCCCACCACACCGATTCCCTCCCCATCATCTCCAGGGCGCAGGAGGTGACTGACTTATGTGGTACCCTGCGATTGGACTCTCTTCGCTCCATGCATAGAGCTGAGCTGGAGCTGGCAATGTGAATTCACATCATTGGCGCCTTGAAATTATTGATGCGGCTTCAAGTCATGGACCGTGCACTGATGAGGCACCTAGCCTAAGGTCAGGCGCGTAGGCTCAGCGATTCGTGTGTACCTGCGCCCCGTGGCCTTTCTTTGGCTCTAACTCCTGTGAATTGAGACTGCCCCGTATGTGAGTCGCGCATTCTCAGAGCTTCGTATAAAGCGAAGCGCCAAATGATTGGTCGTATGATCT